CTCTGTCTGCTAAAGAGGCCCAGAAGTGATGACCAACTCAGAAACAAAGAGCATCCCCAAGTGCCCAGACTATGGTCTCTAAAAACCATTTCCCTCTTAAGAGAAACCAAGAATCCTTGGAGGAATGGCTGATTCCAGGTCTGGGTCAGGGCCTGGAATATCTTTTCTTCCTTGTTATTTGGATGACATCAGACTTTAAGGTCATGTGAGAAGGAACCAACTGGCCTGAGATGGCACAATTCAACCATCAATAAATACAATAAACAAAATGGGTTAAAACACACCAACTATGTTTAACTCTAGGAGTTTAAAAAGATACTAAAAACACAATAGAAAGTCCTAATTGGCTACCATTGGACAATGATAATGAACCAGTTATTATCTTGAAAACTGGCAAAGAAAGGGAAAGAATCATTTATCCTATTTTTCCTATATCACTAGGTAACCAAATGATAGAGGTATTTGATTATTTCAGCTAACAAAAGAAGAATGATAAGATTAGCACACCACCATTTTATAGCTCCCAATTAACTAGTGGCTATAAGCAATAAACACCAGCGGCTGCTAATACCACAAAGAACAGAGGCCACTAGGCACTGTGATCTCCTCACAAAAGAGCACAGTCCAATCTCAGAGGTAGTGTTGCCCACAAAAATCAAGAGTAAATATGATTAAATATCTAAATCAAACCACTAATTTATAGGGAATACAGATGGTAGAAGAACACGTTAAATAGCACCATGGGGCTACACTCAGGAAAATCCAGACTGTGGGAATCCCTACGTCACAAAGAATCCGATTTCTTTGTCAAATACGTTGCAAGGCAGCCGGGAGAGGAGGAGGGGGAAGTAAAAGAAACCCGTAGATTAAGAAGCACTTACAAGACACTTTGATCTACTGGAATGCGTGGCCCTTATTTGAATTCTGATTGTAAGTAAGGGTTAAACACAGGCATTTATGGAACTACTAGAAATTCAAACACTTGCCTGACTTCTGATGATATTAAGAGATTATTGCTGATTTGTTAAGATATGATCATGGTATTGTGGCAACGCAACGAAATGGTCAGTTTCTTTTTGAGATACACACCTAAGTATTTAGAGATAAAATTATCTAATGCCTCGGTTTGTATATCTGAAAATACATATTTTATATATATAAGCAAATATAGAAAACTATAGTTACATATACATATAAATATATATTTAAATTTGCTTAACCCAGTGGTAGGTGCAAAAGCAAGGGGAGCACAGAGAGAGAGAGAGATCAGTGTTGTACTGATGCCCGCTGAGGCTGAGAGAGGGTCCATACGGACTTGTTGCTCTGCTCTTTCCATTTTCCGACATTTACACATTTCATAACAAAACGTTAAAATAAATCCTTCCCAATGTCATGCTCAGAGAGCTAACACCAGGCTTAGCGTATCACAGTTCTGACCAGGACCCCTTTCCTAAGGTTTCAGGAACGATGAAGAGTTGGGCTTTCTACTTTGGGCCATTCACCTACGGAGTTTCTGTACTCCTCTCCTTTGGGACATGTGCTCAGGAGCACACTCACGTACACGCCCAAAAATCTACCAGCAAAAAAGGATTTCTCATGACAAATATTTTGCTTTGAAGCTGGAATGGGTGTGAGGGGCTGGCACAAGACACTGAACTCCACAGAGCTTCCAGATCTTCCTTGTATGGCCACTCGGTGGAGTTCGTGATCAGGGTGAAAGGAAAGATGGCTAATAGTGTTGAGGTTGGTGGGTGTGTCCATCCTGAAGTTCTAAGCAAATGGCAAGGCCAATCTGGATGACAAGGGACACTGGTTGTGTTTTCATGCCATTATTTGCATCGGTGCCTCTGAGTTTCCTAAACTAGATAACACAATAGTCCCCTTGCCCATATCGATGGGGGGGCCAGGAGGTGTGTGTTCCAACACCCCTAGCGGATGTCTGCAACCATGTAAAGAACAGATCCTAGTCAACTTCTTCAGCTCGGTTGGAAATACAGCAGCAGCTTCTTCATCCACAGATGTGGCCTCTCCAGGTAGTTTTATCTTTTTCAGCCCAAACCTATTCCTGAATTTATGTTAGCATCCTTTACCTGCAACAAATGGCTTCGTGTCACTCGTTTCAGGGGACCCCTTTCTGAAGTCTTAGTATAGACTCGTGCTTTCTGGTGCAACAGGTTGCCATCCACTGGGACATGTTTTCTGTTCACGCCCCACCCACAAACGTGATGCCTTTTCCACCTTAACTAAGCACTCATCATGCACTGTGGCTGTAGCTTTTGCAGCTAGAGGTGCAACAGCAAAATGAGCGTGAATTTCTTTTTCCTTCTCCACAATTTCACGGATGGAAGATTCATTCTTACTGTAGATCTTAGCAACCTCAGCACACTATGTTTTTTCTTCCCTTATTAAGTGGAGAACTTTTTACCTTTTTCCTTAAAGGAGTCACCTTGTGGCTTCTCTTTGGCATAGCTGAATTGCCAGCATCACAACTCTTGCACTTTGGGGCCATTATTAAGTAAAATAAGGGTGACTTGAACAAAAGCACTGTGATAGCATGACAGTCTATCTGATAACCGAGGACAGCTACTCAGTGACTAATGAATGGGGAGTGTCTGCAGCACGGATACACCGAACAAAGGGATGAATCACGTCCTAGGTTGGGGAGGGGGGCGGGGTGGCATGAGATTTCTTCGTGCTTCTTAGAACAGTGCACAATGTAAAACTTAGGAATTGTTGCCTTGCTGGTGTGGCTCAGTGCGCTGGGCATTGTCCCACAAACAGAAAGGTCGCCAGTTCAAGTCCCGGTCAGGAAACATGCCTGGGTTGCGGGCCAGGTCTCCAGAGGGGGATGTGCGAGAGGCAACCTCTCTTTCCTCCTCCTTTCCCTCTCTATATAAATAAATAAAATCTTTCTAAAAAAGCTTATGACTTGTTTATTTTTGAGATTTCCCATTGAATATTTTCAGACTGCAGCTGACCGAGGGTAAGTGACATTGTGGAAAGTGGAAGACAAGGGGGACCACTGTATGTGGTTGCCATTTGGGGAGCACCTTGATATTCCAGGCCTTGTGCAATGTGATATGATACTGCAAAGAATGGCAAAAGCCCCTCCCTCCAGGAGATTACAGCCTAGTGTGTGTGTGTGTGTGGGGGGGGGGTGGATAACAAGGAAATGGGCAATTTCGCCAGTGGAGGAAGTGCCTCAAAAGGGAGCGCTCCAGGGTTTAAGGAAGCCCCCAGGAGGGACCCCTAACTCTGTGGCACAATTAGGGCACAGCTGCCAGTGAGGCTGGTGAGATAAACAGAAGCCACACAATCCACCCTAAAGTGCAAGTGAGGGCTGGGATGTGCCATTCCGAACATCAAGTGTCAAATCGGTGTGTTACTTCCTGGTCTCTAACTTTGATTTCCTCCTACCATCCTGCAGCCGGGGACAGGGCTGATGGGTTTGCTCTATCTCCTCCGCTCTCTCGATTTGATTTCTCTCACCTGCAGGGTCCCGTGGAGAACGAGCAGTTTGCCCTCCCATGGCCATTACAGGAGTCCCCGCCTTCTCTGCGGTTTTACTTTCCGCAGAGAAGGTCAGCCATGGCTTTCCGTGGTCAGCCATGGTCCGAAAGTGTTAAATGGGAAATTCCAGAAATAAACAGCTCATAGGTGTGACAGTGTCACTGTCCTGAGCAGTGTGATGAGATCTTGCTCTGTCTCTCTCCCTGCCACCTGGGGTGTGAGTCATCCCTTTGTCCATCATCTCCTCACGGTAGACGCTCCCTGCCTGGGAGCCACTTGGTGGCCGTGTCGGTTATCAGGTTGGCTGTCCTGCCCCTGCAGTGCTCGCCTGTGCTCAAGTCACCCTTATTTACTTAATAATGGCCCTAAAGCAAAAGAGTGGTGATGCTGGTGATTTGGACATGCCAAAGAGAAGCTGCAAAGTGTTTCCTTTAAATGAAGGGGTGAAAATTCTCACCTTAGAAGCAAAGAAAAAGGTTCTTGTGCTGAGGTTGCTAAGATCTTCAGTAAGAATGGATCTTCTCTCATGAAATTATGAAGAAGAAAACAGAAATTCAGGCTTGTTTGGCTGTTGCACCTCAAGCTGTGTGTGAAAGGTGCGGCCACAGAGTGCGACCAGTGCTTAGTTAAGATGGAAAAAGCATTCAGTCTGTGGGTGGAGCACCAACAGAAGACGTGCACCAGACTATGGCAACGTGCTGAGCCAAGGCAAAGAGTTCTGCAAAGAACCCTCTATTGTACAAGTGACACCAAGCCATTTGCTGCAAGTAAGGGACGGTCACACAGATTCAGTAACAGGTTGGACTGAGAAACATAAAACTTGCTGGAGAGAGAGAGAAAGCTCACATAAGCGCACATTCTCATAGCTTTTAGTATAGTATATTGTTAGAATTGTCTTGTTTTGTTATTAGTTATTTTTGTTGACCTCTTACTGTGTCTCATTTATAAATTGAACTTTATCATAGGTATGTGTGTATAGGAAAAGACACAGTATATATAGGATTTGTTCCTGTTGGTGGTTTCAGGCATTCCCTGGGGGTCTTGGGGGTCTTTACAGTAAAGGGGGATTACTGTAGTTGGAAACCACTATAGACTCAGTGTAGGGTGGTGGTTATGAGGGTGGGCTTCATGGTTAGATGTGGACTTGACCCATGGCCCTGTCAGCTCCACACCCATGTAGACGATGTCGTGTTATAGATTCCACTAGTGACTTACTATGGGACTTTGGAGTTTGTGAAACACTGAGGTTTTCCTGGGAAAGATAATGCATACAATTGTACTTTTCTATGTAATAACGTAACTAGTCTAGGAAAACTACTCCTGGAATTTCACTGTGCACCTACCTGGAATGGTTCCCACTGATGCCCTTATAAATAATAAAACCTGGAATTTTAACTATACGCAAGGCCTTGAACTTGTGTTGAAGGGTGGGGTGGTAGAGTGGACAAATGAACACGTTCTGATAGAACCGTTCGAGCAGTTAAGCAAACCTGGGCGTCTTCGAATGTGTATCTTCCTCCGTCTTTGACGTTTTGACTGGTTATCTCGTAGCTGTGAGAATCCAGGTTGATGGCACTTGGGGCCCCTGGAGACAGGAACTCTTGCCAGATTTCTTCCACCCTCTTGGCCACATCCTGTAGGGGTTGTTTCTTAAGATCTTGTACAGCCAACCAGAACCTGCGTGGAAGTATAAAGACAGTCGGTTTCGGGGGACTTAGCGTCTGGACTCTGCTGGACATGGTCCCAGAACTGGCCTCCCAGGAGACCCATTCTGCTGCATCCTCCAGCCTTCCCTGCTGTGTCTGCTCAGGTGACAAAGACTGTAGGGACAGCCAAAAACACAAGTGGCGCTCCGCTCTCGTGGAGAACCGACAAGTAGTGCACATTGGAAGATCACTGTGTTTCTGATCACCTGGAAGAGATCTCTCTCCTTCTACATGAGGGTCTCTCAGCCACAGCACTATTGCTGTTTGGGCTGGATAAGTTTTTATTGTGGAGCCTGCCTTGTGCATCTAGGATGTTTAGCAGCAACCTTGGCCTCGACCCACCAGACACCAGTGGCAACCCCTCTCCAAGTAGTGACAACCCACAATGTTTCTAGACATGGCCAAGTGTCCCCTGGGAGGTACGACCAACCCTGGCTGAGGACCACTGCTGCACAGAGACATCGTGACAGACACAGACAAAGGTGAGTCCCTTTGTCATATCTGGTTGGGATCAGTGTGAGGCGTCAAAAGGAAAGAAAGAGCACAGAAACAGAGAGAACTTGCAATCACAAAGGACACCTGAGTGGGAAGGACCTAGCTATTCACGTTGCAGATGAGTTGATTCCCGGCACCAGGGTCCGGCGTGGTGTTTGCGTGTGGCTGGCACTCAATAAATGGCTGTGGATGGAGGATGAGCTCATCCGCAATAAAGCTGAAGGGGCATCCGCGGGGAACCTCTGCCAAAACATGCCCCAGAAGTGCCGGAGAGAAAACCCTCCTGTTCACGTCCATGTCTGCCCGCCATAAATCCCTCTGCGTCAGCAAGGCAGCAGCCTTCGGGGGAGCTGGGCGCAAGCTTTTTCCTGCTGGAGCAGCAGCGACCAGAGCCCAAGCTCAGACTGCACGCAGCTCCTCAGGTCCTGAGGGCGGCTTCCAAGGCAGCCGTGGGAGGGCTTTCAGCAGGCCCCCGGTGTGGGCAGTGCACTCTGTGCCCGTGAACAGGACGGGCCAGTTTCCCCAGCAGCGAGACTCGGGGACAGGCCCCCCACGGTTCCCCACAGGATTCCCACAGCCACGGGAATCACACAGTCCAGTCAACGAAAGGGCAGGGACGAGAGAACCCGAAACACAACATGGTGGAAAGTGCTTTCAGTCTGTCATCGAATTTCACCCAAAGTAAGATGTACTTGTTGTTTTTTAAAAGGTTAAGCATGTTTTTCTGTTGCTGTTCAGAGACCTGTCTTTGAAGCCAAGTGTGTGGCCCAAAGGCACCACCTAGTGGCCAACTGGGGTAATGCAGCTCCATTTCCACAGGGGCAGAAGACAGGTGCAAGCGCGTGCGTGTGTGTGTGTGTGTGTGTGTGTGTGTGTGTGTGTGCATGTGTGCATGGTGGGCTCCAACTCTCCCCCTGGTGTGCCATCTGGGATTCTAATAACCTCCTGGAAGAAACTGTCATGGTTCCCTTGGTGATTTTGAAGAGCATGAGTTGAAGGCCGAGGAGACTTAATAACTTCCCTGAGCGGAGAGAGACGAGGAAGCCCAGTTTTGTCCCCATCCTGGCTATGCCGCTGTCTGGGGATTGCGTCTTTCCAGCCATCTCCTTCCTGTAAAATGGGTGCGGAGTGGATGGAGGGACATGCAACGTGCTTTTGAAGAACTTCCCGTCCAGGTGTAAGTTGGAAATGCTCAGGTTCGGTGAAACAACGGGCATGCGGAGGGAGGAGGAGGAAGCAGAGGAGGAAGAGGAAGAGAAGGGGAGAAGGGCAGGGGAGGGATGACATCCCCTGACAGTAGTTTTCTCTCTCTGCACGCATGGAGACCCTCTCGGCCTCCTGTGTACCTTGGAGATGACCTGTGTCATCCCTCTCAAGTGACAGCAAAAATGCCGTCACAACAGCATTCTGATATCGCACATGTGCTCACCACCACTGGCTCTGAAGCAGCTTTGTGTCAATTTGAGATTCAGAGCAGCATCTGGTGTGTGTGTGTGCTGCCTGTGAGCCCACGGGCCCGAGCTGGGGCCCTGAGCTGGGCTGCTGGCCGCCCGGTCACAGCCTCCCTGAAAGAGCCCTGGAAGCTCCCCTCCGCATGTTTACCAACGGCTGGGAGGCCCACGGGGGCTCGTGCAGCTTCTGTCCTTATCAGAAGTCTGCAGGTATCTCTGCTCCGGGAGGACGCCAGCAGGGAGGAGGCTGCCGGCGGCGGCGGCAAAGCCAGCCATCCTGCACTAAGCCTCTGTGGCGGGCAGCAGAAGGGCTGCTGTGACTGGCAGTCCGCGAGGGTGCCCTGGTATCAGGGAGACCACCTGTCCTGCCTGGCCCGAGTCATCGGAGCGCAGGCAGGCGGCCCGTGTGCCCACATGTGACCAGTGTCCATGGCTCAGGAATGCAGGCTGGACGGTGGACGTTGGGGGAGGAGCCTGGGCTCCACACCACCGAGCTGAGCAGCAGTGGACTGGACTTGCTGGCTCCCGCAGCATCGCGATGCCGATGAGCTCATGACTGGCTGGAACAGGGGAAACCACTCTCAAGCCTGCCAGGAGGTCTGGGCAGCCCCTCTGTTCCTAGCTCACACAGCTTTTCATAAACTAGGGTTTTCATGGGTTAGAAACATCCAGCTTTTAGTTTGTTTGCAGAGAAATAGCAAACTCCATGCAAAAGGAAGGCTTTCTGTGCCCTCTGCTGGCCACGGAGACTCAGGAACAAGGGATCCAACTTGGGATCCGTGTGTTTGGGCCCATCCTTGAGGCCGCCAGCACCACACCTCGGAGGCTGAGTTATGGGCCACGGACCATGGCTGAAACGCCACAGACTGTCACAGTGCTGCATGAGGCACCTTTGTCCCAATTAATCCTGTGTTTGGTTAGTGGCGAATCCCACCAGGCCTGGTGAACCTTTCGAGGTCTTCTGGCACTCGGGGCCACCGTCAGAAAGGGGTGGCTCTCCACACAAACCTGGCAGCTCCCCTGTGCTGTGTTTAATTGCTTCTCCCCTCAGCCGACACTCTGCGGAACCAGGATAATCAATCTGCAGGTTAGAAGAACAACCCCGTTCCCTCTGGAGGCGGCACAGCTCATAAAAAATGTACGGGGGATGCTCGTAGCTGCGGGTTTTGATTTTTAACTCGTGCCCTGCTGTGTGGCAGAAGCCGTCGAGCCGGGGAGGACAAAGATCTGTGCAGGAGAGGTGGAGAGGGGCAAAGGTGGCAGGGGGCTCCCCTCAGCCTTCTGGGAAAATGCGCAGGGAAGGGAGAAGAGCGACGTCAGATAACTCACTGGAAGTCCCCGCTTCAGGACCGGGAGGCGCCCACCTTGGGGAGGAGAGGCCACCTGCCTTCCAAAGGCCCCAAGCGCACGGTTGTCTCCAGGGGCCACTCAGTCCAAACAGACCCTGGGCTCAGCTCCGGGTGCCACAGAGAGTGTGCTGTCACATGCTGTGCCATCTGCAGCAAAATGTGCTGGTTGTCCCCCCGTGGGCCCTGGAAATGACGCCTCTCCCTCGGCTCACAGGCTCACTCCCCAAGAAGTGGCCAGGGGGGACTTCAGCGTACACTGTATTACCACAGACATCTTTCCTTAAAGGAGCCTGGGTGACCCTTTGCTGTTGTGACAGCCATTCCTGTGTCTCTTTGGAGCTCCTCTGTTCTGCATTCTGAAGCTCGGATATAAATTCGACCATGTGGCCACTCAGCTGGCACTCCAGGTGCGGTGCAAAGATACAAGGATCTTAGTTCCCTCTCACTGGAGAGATGAAGGGGGCACAGGGAGACCGACGCTCGGAGGCCCTTTGCCCTGCATCCAGCTGAGTTCCGGTCAGTCTCTCTCTCTCTCTTTCCCTTCCATGCTCCAGTGCCAGGTGCCTGGGATCTTGACCAAGCCTGGGGAGAAGGCACGACCCCAGCATGGCCAACACCATGGACAGGCAGGATCCCTGAGCTGTGCCACACTGCACAGCCCTAGGCACCCCCCTGCCCCATGCACGTGGGCTGCAGTGGAGGTGGACCTGGATGAGGGGCAAAAACGCAGTGAGCTCTGAGTCCTCGGGCCGGGGTCATGACAGACACTGAGCCAGTATCTGAGGCTGAAGGAATGAATCCCACAGGAAGGGGGGAGCCCATCTGGTTATGAGTGACCGAAGGGTCCTGAAGTTGTGTGACCTGAAACTGACCTTCGCCCCGATGTGCCCAGCTACACTGAATGTCGCCCAAGTGGGACTCAGACCTCCAGAGAGGACTTCAGAAGCTCCTGGGCTGTCCCGTACATCTCTGGCAGTTCTATATTTCCTTTATCCTCTCTTCCGACATGGATCAGGGGGACCCTCCTTAAGTCTGGATGTAAGGCATTCACATGTAGCTTGGTCAGTGGCACGCTACCCATGCCCCCACACACTCTTTCGCCCCAGATTGAGCGTGGCCCTCCTGGCACAGGAGGAAGTTGCTGGGGGAGGCCCAGAGGCGATGGCAGGCTCAGGCGCTAGACCCCAGCAGGGACACTTTCCTACATGCACTCCAGCTGTAAACGTGATGCGCATTGTATAAAACCGGTCTGATTGTATAAAACTGGTCTGAGCCGTTGTGTGGGCGAGGCTACACTCAGAGCGGGCAAGCAGTGCTGAGCCAGGAGCAGGATCCGTGAGGCTCACTGGGACCAAGCTGGCTTGGGCCCTGGGACTGAAGTGGCCCCGCGGAGAGGCTGCTGAATGCCTCATGCTGGCCGCAGAGGGCACGGCCTCCCAAGCAGAACCCATGTCCAGCACAGCCTGCGAGGCTGGTCTGAGCACCGCCCTGCTGAAGTCAAGGCTTCCCTCACAAATACCTGATTAGGAACAAAGCAACGCTCTGAGTTGTGTTTGGCATAATGCCTCGGCACGAGGAAAGAACTCTCGTGCCAGAACCTGAAAACCGATACTCGGCCTTTTCTGGTTTGTGGTAGGCACTCGCCTCCTAGAAGGGCATCAAGACGTCAGGTAACTGGCATCTACACGTCCTCCCCGGACTTTGTGGCCCACAGGGTCGTCCAGCTCAGAACATGCCCTCTCCCTTTTTCATCTATCGGCAGGTATCCTGCGCGTTCTACTCTTACACTCCTCCCTCCCTTTTAAGAACACTTCTAAGAGGATCCTTATAGTTTTTACTTGTTTAGATTCATGCAATGATTTAATAGCTTCTTGTGTTTTTTCCTCAAGGACCTACAAGGTTGTTGCAGGAGAAGATCATGCATTTTGACTCCCTTGCCTCCCTCAGCAAACCCTCTCGGGGCTCGGTGTGGCACAGGTGTGTAATACATGCCACTTGGCCCATGTGAAGGATGGACATGGTCTCTCACTCCGAGTAAATAATAGGGACTTCGCACATTAACACTGGAGTGGGCAGTTTCTTACCCACAGTATGTGCCCTGACTTATGAAAGTGCAAAAATGCCCTGGCTGGTGTGGCTCAGTGGATTGAGCACTGGCCTGCAAACCAAAGGGTCCCCAGTTCCATCCCCAGTCAGGGCACATGCCTGGGTTGCAGGCCAGGTTCCCCAGTAGGGGGCGCGCAAGAGGCAACCACACATTGATGTTTCTTTCCCTCTTTCTCCCTCCCTTCCCCCTGTCTAAAAATAGATAAATAAAATCTTTTTAAAAAGTTCAAAAATATTTTGAAAAGTTCATAAAGCCACTTTAAAAAATACCATTGGAAGATGAGAATTAACCTGCATATAAAAGAAAATGTGGTACCAAGAAAAAACCCAGAGATTCCCAGCTTCCTGACTGAGAAGTCACCCGTTGGCTAATATCACCCCTAAAGGCTCTTTTAAGTTCCATGTTCCACAGGTCTCTGATCTACACGGAGTACAACAAAAGCCTGGGTAAACCACAAGTTTCCAATTTTTCACAACCACGGGCCCTTTCCCTGTTAATGCACCCCCTTTCCTTCCTTTCTCGATGGACCTCACGTTTTGAGAGCTTTATTTTTTCTACCAAACAGTAATTATGAATACAGGAATACATCTTCCCTTATCTGATGAGTCATAGACCAATAGACACGGTCGGATGTTTCACTGGCATCAGGCGTCCAGAATAACCACCACGAGAGCTGACAGAATTCCCCCCCAAAGAAAAGCACATTTTACTTAGCTTTTACAGTTGTGTCTGCAGTTATTGCATGGTGTTTATTATTCTTGCTTTTTGAAATTCTGAAATGAGGCCACACACCCCGTTTTCTTCTGGTTGGCCTGCTAAATATTCAGGACCCCGGACTTGGGGGGTTGTGAAGGAGAGGACACCTGAGCCGTCTTTCGGGCTGAAACCCCCTGGCTCTGTGGTTTTAGTTAAAGGGTGGAGTCTCCAAGTCCATTTGACTATGTACTTGCTATTGGAGATGTGTGCCCAGTAACTTGAAGAAATGTCATTGGGGCTTAAAGAACAGTAAATGCTGGTGTTGGTAAGCGCTAACATGGCGACTGCAAAGCTGCACATAAACTTTTTTCGTCTCCATGTCCACCTTGGCCAGATTAGCCGGCATTTGAGATTGAACATAACATTTGACTGAAAAGGGGAGGCAGAAAGAGAGGCTGGTCATGCAAATTCTTTGTACACACCCTGCACACAGCTCAGACTTTCGAGAGATTTACCTGAGGTTTTCTGAGCTGAACTCGGACTCCAGGAATCGCAGAAACTGCTCCCGCCCCACCTGGTCCTTCAGCATCTCGTCAAACGAGAAGCCCCATCTCTTGACTCGCTGCTGGCTGGGCTCTTTGCTTTTGGGGGTGAGTGGGGGGAAACAAAGGTTTAAAAAAGGATCAATACCAGGCAAGAACCTGTGTCACATTCTCTCTAGCAAGTCAAATCTATTTTGCTGCCACACGCTAATGGGAAATTCCACAAATTTAAGCAATAAATTCCATAAAACCTGTACAAACTCTACATGCAGACTTCTGCACACCAACATCAGCCGATGGTAAAAAGTCTCTTTAAGGAAGACATTTAGGCTACAGTCACCAGCAGCCGTGCCCAGCGGCTCCTGTCTGTCGCAACTATAATCATCCCCCGCCCCAACTCGGCTTCCCTGGACCATTCTGGTCAGTTCTGGGCCCAGCACCGGACTCCATCACTTTTTACTTTTTGTTGTTGTTATAACTGAGGATGCCTTGTGAATCCGACCCTTCATCAGAGATGTCTCCCACAGGGGAGAAACTGGGTCTTGTTTGGACCCAAGTGACCTCCCGCTGGTCAGAAAGGAAACAACTCATCCACGCTAAAACCTGCTTGCGTGTTTAGAAGCAGAATGTTGTGTTCGTATATTGGTTGAACCTGCATAGTGTTTATGAGATTCTAGGCATTTCACATCTGTTAACTCACGGAGTCCTCACAACTACTCCATGAAACATGTACTAGCACTATCCCCACATGACAGATAGGGAAACTGAGGCCTGGTGATAATTTTCCCAAGGACACCCCAGAAAGTGAGGGGGTCAAGACTCAAGTCCAGATGGTGCAGCTCCGAGTGCAGCTCCTACCTGTAACTCTGCGGTGTGGCGTCACATCCAGTGGCCCTCTGAGGACCGATGCGGGGGGGTGAGGAGGGGGCCTGGTGGTCTTATTCTTTTGGTGTTGGAAGATGCAAATGTTTCTTTCAGCTTCTGTCTCTCCATTTACACTTCACTTGCTGTGTTTATTCCCCTGACCCTCCAAGCAGCAACAGGGCCCTAGCTCACAAGTCACATGCTGTAGCCCCCAGGCAAGGAGAGGTCTGTGGATCTGCACGGGGGACATCGGACCCCAGCTCAGACGGGGGAGTCAGCATGCACGGTTTAATAGGACCCTGGGTGAGCTCAGTGCCCATTAAATTCTAGGAGGCATTGGCGTAGCAATACTTATTTTTCCTCTTTTTAAAAATCGACACATAGGTTTTATTATTTCTAATGGACATTAAGTAAGTGAAATAATTTCCTTGTGTTAGGGAGTTGACATAGTCTCAATATTTATCTTAGAAAATTACACTTAGTAAAGGAAAACAAAAACATGTGTGTTGAAAGGTTTGGAAAAATAAGTAGCTCTAGACCAGGGCTGCCCCGAAGAACCTTCTGTGATGACAGGAACAGTCTTTGTCTGTGACCTCCCACATGGTTGCCACTAGCCCCGGGGAGCTCTTGAGAACTTGATATGCGGGCCGTGTGAAAAGGAAACTGAATACTTAATTTTAAAGAATTAAAGTTTAAATTTGAGTGGCCACATGTGGCTAGCGGCTACTCTATTGGAAAGCACAGCTGTGGAGTTACGCGACTCAAGGCCAGCCCTTCTGTGTCTGCACCATGAGACGTAACCTGCAGCAGCAGGATATTCCAAGTCTGAGATTGCGTGCTCGGACTCAGGAAGCTCCTGTGCGCTGCTCTCCATCTCCAGCTTAGCCCAGTGCAGTCCCAGGAGAAGACTAAGTCCACCAGGTGAACCAGTGGGGAATTCCATGAAAAATCCCCCCCCAAAGCACCAAGCTGGGCTTTCTACAGTGAACCAAGATGATGGGTCCTGGATTCTTTCAAACTCAAGTCACAGAGCCAACCCCACTCGATCAAGTTCCAGGAGACAAAACGTCCTGTTAATAAAGAAATCCCCTGGGCTTGAGGCTAGCAGCAAATGTAAGCCCTGGAGAGCTGTGGGATATCATCTCTTTCTTCCAGGGTCAAGCTGTCACCTGGGTTGGGCTCAGCCACCTGCTCTTTGCCAGCCAAGGTGGCAGGCTCTGCGGGGACAGTGCTGGTGGCAGCTGCACCCCAATCAAAGGCTGTGCCTGGACACTAGGTATGGAGAGTATCTCAGTGTTTGTCGTGATTGCCTCTTGGACACATACCCACCATTGGTGTCTCTACTTTCTGGTACCCAAGCTAAGAGCCCTCATTCACTCCTCCAGATTCATTGGGGGTGACAGGGGTGGGAGAAGGGCCAGAACTTTGGGAGTGGGCCAAAAGCTTAGATTGTCATGCTAGATGCAGAATCAGAGGCCTAGGACAGAGGTTGGAACATCCAGAAAGCTGCAAGGACAGCAGCCTTCAGCAGAAACAAGGAGGCCTGGAGAGACAGGATGCCCTGGTGCGGTGGTTTCCTAGGGTTACTGCAACAAAGTACCAACCAACAGGGTGGTGTAAAATAGGAGAAAATGATTCTCTCACAGCTCTGGAGGCTAGAAGTCTGAAGTCAAGGTGCTGGCAGCGTCACCTCTCTCTGAAAGCCCCTGGGGAGAATCTGTTCCGTGGCTTTCTGTTAGATTCTGGTGTTGCCAGCAATACCTAGCACTCCTTGGCTTGCAGGTGCATCGCTCCAATCTCGGTCTCCATTGTCACGTGGTGTTCTCCCTGTGTGTCTGTGTCTCTGTTTTTTCCTTATACAAAGACACCAGTCACATTGGAGTAGGAGCCTGCCCTACTTCACTACTTAGCTGAATGCATCTACAACAGCTCTATTTTCCAATAAAGTCCCATTCTGAGGTTCTGGGAAGGACATGAGTTTTTGGGCGGCACTGTTCAACCCAGGACATGTGGGTTCCCTCGAATATCCATTATTCACAGTCAATCCTTTCTCTACACCTAGATGCCCCACCTCTGCTCCTTTTTCCTTCTAGCACATTTGGCCATTGGCACCTATTCTATTAAAAGATTCTCGGGTAAATGTCTCTATATGTGTGTTGGCTGCACTACTTGAATATATTTCCAAACATTCCCTGTAAGTTTCAAGATCAGATTTGAACATGTTGCTACTACTGAATGGTCTCTGTGGTTACAAAACGATTTGGAAAATTAAAATCCCTCTAGACATTCATCCCCAGATGACTAGCACAATAAATTTTCTTGGCCCAACTCAAACAAATACTCCCTGGAACTCACAGCTCCTTTTATTTCCATCCATTGTGCAGAAGTGCTTCCTTATGACATGTTTTTATGATAGTTTTATATCATCATTCAGGATTTTAAAGATTTATGTCATTGTCTCTCCAGCTGTGTGAGCTCTTTGTGGGCAGAGGCCGCATCTCCTGTGCCTTTGTACTCACCACAGTGCTTTTCACACAGCACATTCAACAGGAAGAGGAAATCAGTAAGGAGTGTGTACAGTGATGTGAGTGACGTGTCTTTACCCTGACAGTGTTTTCTAATTGCTAGCTGGATGTCTTTTCCTAACTCTTATTTGCCCTCTGATTTCACCAAATTCCTGACTCCCACTGGGCAGCCTAAACCAACACACAGCAAAGGCAGGTGGTTCTGTGTAGGAATTCGTCTTTCATTTCACTGATCTCCCAACTCAGAACATAGCCCAAAGTAGGTTCTTAAAATAGATTCATTGCATTAAACTAAGAAAAACTGGCTTATGTTACTGATCATCATGGGTCTTTGTTCCATGGACAGGAACCATCTCTTGGCTGAAGTGGGACATTGGCACGGATCCCCAACTGTGCTCCTCCAGGGACAGTCCCTGGCCACTGCCAGCATTTGAGTGGCTGAGAACGTCTGCCTGGGAGAAGAAACAGGTCTCCACAGCTTCTCCTCATTTTCACTTGTAGCTAAATGACCCGATTCTGCTCGAAGGTGGACAGAACAGTAAGAGCGACCAGAGCACCACTTGTAGGGGCAGGTAGCACCCTCCTGGGGACAAAGTGTTAACAGATTGGAATAAACCAACAGGTCAGGTGACCACCATTTCCCCAAACTATCACGCGCTTCTTTGTTGATTTTCAAGAAAGAAGGAGGGAATCCCAGCGTTATCATGGTGAATCAAGTTCATGTACTTACCTCTCCCTCCTTTCCCAAATACCAGTGAAGTGGCCAAAGAAAGAGTCACTACTCTGTCTATCCTCCATTCAACCTATACTTTTTGCATGCCTGCTGAGTGCCAGGCCTAAGTGACGGTGCTAAAATAATTTTAAGTGCTATTTGGAAAGAGAACCAGGAGGAAAGGATGTGGTACAGAATGAGTGGATGGATGGGGTGGCCACTATAGATTAGATGGCCACAGAAGACCTTTCTGAGGAAGGGACACCAGTGCTGAGTGAGACTTGAATGAGAAGAGGAGTCAGCCCGTGCAGACCTGGGGAAGTGGTCCAGGAATAGAGGACAGGCAGGAGTCTGGCGTTCAGTGGAACCAAACAAAATGAACCAGAAAACCACAGTATGTCAAGGTAAAGAAACTTTCTATGAGCAGATGACCAACTATGAGAAATCCCAGGAAGGGATGACACAGATGAACTGAACTGGTTACAACTGATTGAGGGCTGCTTCTGATTTCAGCGGGTCTGTCTGAGAAGAAAGTTGTTGGGTGTCCCCAACCCTGGGACAACCCCAGGCTCTGAGCAGAACAGAAGGCAGGAGCTGTCAGTGGGCATCGGACAGGGGGCAGGTGGAAGATACTCAGAAATGAGGACCACGGTCTCCCCATGGCAGAGAGGATCTCTGGAACAAAGAGGGAGATGTTTTCTGGCCAGCTTTTAATACAGCGCTAAAGCCAGGTAGTGCTGCTGTAACCTAGGTGTAGAACAGCAAATATAGGGGGAGCTTTCTGAAGACATGCCAGCTTTTTCCTGTTTCTCTCGGCTTCTGCAGATCTGACCGGGTTTCCTAAGGTCCCTCAGCAGGAGAAAGAGTGTACTCACTGGGGAGCACTGTGCAGAGGAAACTGAAGAACGTCAGAAACCCCATCAGAGCTTGGGAGCAGAGCGCTTGGCTGCAGGGATGTCATTAAGGGAAGGTGGGGTCTACTACTCATGGGCCCCCGTAGCCACCAGTCCCACTCTGAGAGAGGACCCAGTCTTTCAGCCTGTTCTCAGACCGCATAGCCAGGACCTGGAGAGGAACCTCGAGAGAGATTACCTGTGCCCTCCCATTAATATACTCAGGGGAAGTCACGAGAACTGCTCAGGGGAGAGCTTGCTGGCGGGGGGGAGCTCTGTAAACCACACCTGGAATTTTCAAATCGTGCTGTGCCTCAGAAGTGCCTATAAAGTTTGCTGAAACCACAGATACCCAGAACCACCTCAAGGGCAGCTGTATTTTTAATTAGCGCCCTAGGTGATTCTGACCACCCTGTGTTTTGAGAACCAGTGACCCCCACAATTGCTGAGGGAACCCTCACCAGCAACTGGCATAGTCCATCTGGACCAGGGCTGCACACGAGAATCGCTTGGGGAGATATAAAAAAAATTAGCAGTGCCTCACTTCTGATTTAAATTCTGATTTAATTGGTCCGGGGAGAAAACTGGGCAATGGTATTTTTTTTTCCCCAGAAATGCCCCAGGTGAGTCAAATACATAGCCAGAGTGGAAAGTGAAGACCTTCATTTATGAAAACCTGCAGTCCCCCCAGTTTCTGGGTAGATGAAGCGATGGACCTGCTCTGAACAGTGACTGCAACAATGGAACAATGAGGAGAAACAACACTTCGCCGATCAGCGACCCCCTGGGAAGCAGGCTAAGCTGCAGAAATTGAGGAGAGAAATACAGAAAAAAATTCTGTATCCCACCCTCAGGGGGGTGCAAGGGGATAAACATCAGAGAGGCTACTGAGAGGAAGCAGTCCAGGAAAGAGGAAGAATTCCTGGAAACGAAAAGCAAGATTGTCATCACCCCTCCCAACACTCAGCGGGAAAAGAAACACTCATTCAAGTGTAAACATCACAGAATGGACATCACTGAAAACAAAACTGGTGACTCTGAAGAGTAATTCAAGGAATTCTATCCTTGAGTGTAGAATAGAAAGGGTAACAGAGAACAGATACGAGATACGGTTGCTCCATGCCAGAGGCCCCGCGATTCCTACACAAGGACTTCCTGAAAAGAGAAGACAGAATGGAAAAAGGCATAGCAGTGATTTAAAAAATGGGAAGAAAACATCCTGAGTTAAAAAAGATTTAAGTTCTTGGATCAGATTAGAAGGAACGGCCTAGGGCATGTTTATTTATTAAAAAGTCGGGTCCAAAGAACTTGGTATGTATTTATTTTCTAACAAGTGAGTAGCTATATGAGGTGCCTATACATTGGCAGGACAATGAAGATATTTACTTCATTCTTAAATAGACACATGTGAGCTGTTGAGCACGGCACGTCTTCTTAACCTTTGGAATCGGATTGGACCTTATCACCCTTGGTTCCGGTTCCACGCTGATGTTTGTACTGTGCTTGCTTTGATCACCGCCAACCGCTCTGAAAGCCCAGATTTACAAAGACATGATACCGCTGGAGGGGATGGCAGGGAACCTAACGTTGGAAACGGTGAAGGACCTTAACTAGCAGCTTGTGCAGTGTCTGCCATACGTCACGCATCATTGCGCTTCCCTCGAAGACTGAGGCTGTCCTGTGGTGACCCTGCGAGGTCCCCGCAGTGGCTCAGGGTGCCCTGGTGCAGTTTGGGAGCCATGGCATCAGACTCTGAACAAAGTTTTCTCTAGAAAATGAGAATGGGTTGGAGGAGAGAACTTCCTTCACTGTGTATGTCTGAGTAGTTTAAACCGCTGTAATAAGCACCTGTGCTTTTTACTACCTTTTATAAAGTTTTTCCATTTTAACAACAGAATCCAGAAAAAGAGCAAGAGTGCAAGTGAGGGAGAGAGATATAGAGAAACGAGGGGCAGAGGGCCCCGGGGCCCAGGTGCGCCTCGGCGGGCTTGTCTGTGCGTTTCCTTCTGTGACCGGAAATGTGGCCCCTGGTCCCTCTGGGTGCCGGTTCCCCAACAAGCGAGAAAACACACTGGCTTCCCTCACGGTGAGAAGCTCCTGGATGGAGTCACCCCTGCAGGTGACTCTCAAGGAGCAGCGATGAAAACCTGGGCTCTGGTGCCCTCTCTCTGGGTTCAATACTAACTCTGCCACCTACTCACTGTGTGACCTTGAGCAAGTTCACTAACTGCTCTGTGCTCCAGTTTCCTCATCTGTTCAGTGGGGAGAATAATAATGTTAATAATGTTTGCTTATTGCGGGATTCCACGTAAGGCACACACTACTACTGTTGCTACTGCCATATATATATATATATATATAAATATAAAACTATTTGGCCAATAGATTCTTATCCTCTGGCAATCAGAGCTAGGACATGTGAGGGACTGTCCCTGTTATGATATCCAAAGGGTCAGAGAGGGGGCAGAGGGAAGGCACAAAGGTCCCCGTGGAAGCCAAACTATCAGGGGGCAAAAACCACAAGTAAGCAGAACTTAGTGGGGGTGGTACTTGAGGGGTTTCTATTAAGTGATGAAGTCAAATTAAGATAGGGGGTCATGTAATCTTACGATCTCCTGATTGTTTTCCACATCTCTCCCACTCTCAAATATTATTATTATTAAAATTATTTTTAGTTTTACCTCTTCTCCATGTCCCATAAAGTGGTATCATCACTGATCCAGGGATTGGATGGCTCGGCCGGCGTTATCAAGGGATCGTATTCCACGTACTGCTCCGTGTAAGCAATTAAGCTGCACGGGGAAGCAGAGCAAAGAATGCCGTCGGTTTCCTGCAAAAACTTCTATTCTGTCTCACTCAAACGTTCTAGCAGTCTTATCATGCTTCTAAGTGAAAAGGGAAAAATTACCACCACTCCCACTTCTGACAAACTGGACTGTTTCATTTGCCCTTGTCCCCTCTCATTTGAACACACCGTTCTGCATGACTGCAGTCACAGCACACAGATGAGCTTTGTATCTTTTCCCCACTTCCTGTTGCCCGGAACCTGGGGGCCTCCCTCCCTGGCTACGCTAGCCTTACTGATGCACTGGTCCACACCCGCCTGCGCACTGCTCTCTGAGGACACAGCCTGCGGATTTCCAAGGCATCCGGGACATACAGAGGATGCCACGGTTCCTCCAGGCTCTCAGCCCAGCACTCCCAGCTTGAAAAGATGTTAAAATCCTGGCAGGCCACAGGAGTTAATATATTATAAGCATTTTTCCAAAAAAAAAAAAACAACTTAGTTTTTCTGGTTATAATTTAAATAGCCACATAATCTTTGTAAGCAAAACTTTATCAAAAGGCATGGATATAGTTAAAACAATAAAATAATACTAAGTGATTTTCATGTACAAAGAAAGCAGTAGCGATGCTTTTATTTCCTTCTACCCCTTCTCACAGGGGCATCCACTTTCCACCCTTCTGTTTCTTTTAGCATTTACCTGTGAATTTTTAAATTATATGTTTTTATACCTGTTCTTCATCATCAATTTTAGATGAGCATTTAACTTTCTGCTCACTAGTTCCCAATTCTCCTACCATTTACTCCCATGATCCTCCACATAGACATATAACAATTTTTGTTAAATCAATCGTAAGTATCCACAGTACTGTACTAGTTGTTTACTGCTGAGCAAAGCAACACATTACTTATTTCAAGTGTTCCTACAAATCTGTGAAACATCTAGCAGTAATTTTTCCGTATCTTAAACATGTCAGGTAACCAGTCAGTTCTAGCTCCCTGCCCCTGAAGTGTTGAATCCTCCTGCTCCAGTCTGGACTGTTTGCTGTACAGGCTTCATGCAAAATCCTCATCCTGGGACTTCCTTCATGTTTGTGCTGAAGCCCTTGTTTCCTGGATTCCATGCCTGTCTATTGCTTTTACTCCCTCATTGTGTTGAAGCACATCCTTTAATAGTTTCCCAAGAATTATAGTGCTGGCCATGGAACCCAAGGTTAAAACTAACTCTGCCCAAATTTTGAAGGCATTGGTCTTTTCTTTTTTCTTTCCTTTCCTTCTCTTTCTTTCTCCCCTCTCCCCTCTATTCAGTGTTACCATTGAGAAGTCTGGATCCATTTTGATTCTAAACAGTTTCTTTTCTCTTTGGAAACTTAGAATCTTCTCTTTATTGTTATAGTGCTCTGAAGTTTCGCTATGACCCTTGCTGGTTGTTTTTGGTTCACTGTGCTAAGTAAAATATGCAATATATTTCCCATAAACATTACTTCTTTGCCAGTGTCACACCATTTATTTTTCCTTTCTATAATTCATTTTAGTTACATCTTTAGACATCTTGAATTGATTGATAATATAATTTTACTTCTCATTTTTCATCTTTTTGTATTTTTGTTTGACAGTTCTTCTAAACTTTCTCTTTATTGTTTTAATTTGAGCCATCATTTTCTTAAGTTTCCAGAGTTCATTCTTCTTTATCATAGTATCTAGTTCTTGTTTTATGAATGGAACTTCTTCTCATACTTCTGAGGATACTATTCTATATTTTTATTTTCAGTTTCTTCAGTAGTTTTTGGTTCCTCCAAGTCGCTTCTTTTGTTTGTTTTCATTCACTTCTTCACACTGGGGTTCTTCTTGAGTGTCTGGAAAACCAGTGGACATCCATTTGTGCTTAAGAGTGAGCTGCTAAAACCTGTCCGGAGACTCTGTGTGTATGTGTATGTGTGTGTGTGTGTGTGTGTGTGTGTGGACGGGACAAGCCCACTCATGGGCTTCATTGTCGGGTCACTGGGTGGCTTGCCAGCCTTTCCACTAGAGCTCAAAATGAGGGATCTGGCTGCTTTCCTCTGGGGACATCTAGTTTTCTCTAGAGCAGGGTAGGCAAGCTTTTTCTGGAAGACCCAGATAATAAATATTTTAGGCTTTGAGGGCAAGATGGTGTCTGTTGCAACTACTCAGCTTTTTTTTTTTCTTTTGCACAAAAGCAGCCATAGTCAATTCTTAAATGAATGCATATGACTCTATCCACTGTGGCTTAGTTGGTTGGAGCATCATCCAATTAATTGAAAGGTTGGGGGTTTGATTCCTGGTCAGGACACATGCCTGGGTTCCAGATTTGGTCTCCAGTCAGGGCACATATGAGAGAGGCAACTGACTGATGTTTCTCTCTTGCATTGATGTTTCTCTCCTTCTCTCTTTCCCTTCTTTCCCCTCTTTCTAAAATCAATAATCATGTCCTTGGATGAGGATTAAAAAAAAATAGGTAGGAAGGGGGTCCAATTAGAAAGGGAAACAAAAAGCAGAGCAGCATTACAGAGAGGAAAGAAGGAAGTTTAGTTCTCATGAATTCATTAATCGAATTTGTTTTTCACATTGTAGAGGGTGAGGGAGGAGAGAGACTATAAAGAAAGAACTCCTTAATTGCAGGTCAGTCAGAGACAATATATTCAATAGAGAATCTCAGGGTGAGTGAGGGATGGGAAGGTGAATTCAGCCCCTTGGAAAGAAGAGCATATGCTAGGCCAGGTGTAGCAGCCCTCCTAGAGCACCGTCTGAAGGCAATCACCTTGGCTGTAATGTTACCTCTGCTATTTTCTATTCTGTCACCTACGATGGGCTGGGAGAAAAGAGGAGCAAGAACCCTGCAGTCTCTGAATCCCATAAAAGTAAAGTTGTAATGACCTCCTTAGCTCCTGTTTTTCCCCCTTCCCTGAAACTATCATTAGACATTAAGTTCACAGACTTCTATCACCTTAGCAGGTTTTTAATAGACCCTTAGGGCACCACAGTCCCTTGCTGTCTTATCTCATTTTATTAATTACATTTCATGATCACAGAGGGTCAGGAGGCAGAGGAGGAAACGGCATCCAATTTCAGGGAGCAGCAGCAATCTAGAGGCGGGCAAGATGATGATAAAAAATCAATTCAGCCGTCAGCGGTGAGGCGCAGATGCTCCCCGGGAAGGGTGAGGGTGAGCCGAGCACCGGAGCAGACATACAAGGACACAGCTTGGTATCTCCGTGTGTGGCAGTCTGGGGTGATTCCTGCAGGGCCACTGCAGGTGGGGAGAAGTCTCTGGGGACACCCAGCAAACATGGAGACTTTCCAGGACATCTGGAACTGAAATGTAGATGTTTGCATTCTCAGAGTTGGTTGGTCCCGTGCTGTAAGTCTTGGGTGAGTAAAGAAGGGGCTCCTCGAGGACTCTCACGAAGAAGAGTAAGACCTCTTTTACTGGACAACTTAAATTGTTGAGAGAACATAGTGAGGCACGTGAGCAAAAGGGCCTCTTTCCGCAGTGAAATCAGCTCTATGCCTCAAGGCTCGTTGTCTGGTATCCGTAAGAGCGCATCTCTCAGTGAAGACTCTTGTGTTGGGATTAAGGCTAAGGAACTTGGTTATTTGATTTCCGAGTGTGGTAGATCAATGTAAAGAAAATGAAGCCTGTTTCCCTAGCCCTCGAATCTGGTCTCGGCTTGTCACTTGCTTTAGCCAATAAAGTGCAGCAGAAGTGACTGAGTGCCAGTTCCAAGCTTCAAGAGACTGGACATGCTTTTGCTCTCTCTCTTGGAATACTGCTGCCCCCACGTGAACAAGTGAAGCTAGCCTGCTGGAGGATAGGAGACGGTGTGAGCCCAGTTGTCCCAGCTGAGGTCATTCTAAACCAGCTGAAGCCAAACATGCAGGACAGCCCAGCCAACATCACCGGGCTGCCTACCCAATGCACAGCTGCACGTGGACACCTGGGGAGACCCAGCAGAGGCAGCTGGCACAGAGTCATGTGAGCAGCAATATGTTGCCTGTTGTTTGAAGCCACTGCATTTTTTGAGGTGTTTTGTTATGCAGCAATAGCTACCTGCTACACATGGTCTAACACAGATTGGCGATGGGAGTTACTAAGGGAGCAGGAAGGGCTACTGGAGACAAGTAGGTTGACAGGAACAAGAATACAATCCAACAACTAAAAAGCAGAAACAGAGACTCAAAGGACATAATGGCCTGGGAACGTGGGGAAGGGGAAGCAGTTTGTGGCACTTTTAAGACCCTGAACACCCACAGAATTTTAAAGCTCAGTGTAAGAACACTGACCCTGAGCCACCCAGAAAAATTAACTGAAATGTGTGTCCTTTCTTCAAGAAGGCAAATACATAAACCGCAATGAAGACAGATTCTCATTTATAAGAGTGCCAATAAAAAGCTTAAGGTGTTAAGTGTTATTTATCTGGAGAATTCATTTGTGTGTGCAGGGACCATACTTCCTGAAGCAAAAATTAGGTAACACCTCAGACTGGCTTTTGTACTGTTGTTTCCAGCTATAAAAGGCAGCCTAGGAAATATAGTTTGGTTGCCAGGATGTTGGCATTTCGGAAACATTTAACCACTTCTGGGGACAATGGGACAGAATAGTCGAAACTGAGTGGACCATAGAAAATCTATGAAGAGCCAGCCTCTTCATGCATGGCCTCCCCCTTCCCAAAGGCACCACATTATTGGTGCCATAGGAGGCAGCCAAGGGGAACAGACATGTGGACGGCAGGGCCAGCCTTAGGCTGTGTGCAGGGCAGGGCTCTCTGTTTAGGAGACTGGGAAGAAAGAGGGAGGGAAGAGCTACACTGGCACAGAGCTGCCACCTGCAAGGTCCAGCCTCACTCCTCAGACTGCCCTTCGTCTGTTCCTCAGAACACCACACACCCAGTTCATTCTACCTCATGCCCTTGAACTTGTTCGTTTCCAAAGTACTGTTTAGCCCCACACTGGATAATAACAATTACCACTTACATTCATGGTATGTGTGGTTAGTGCCAAGGACTGGACCAAGCTCATGCCATGGGTTAACTCATTAATCCTGTAAGCTAAGTATTATTGCTCTGTCCCCTTTACAGAGGGAGAATCCAAACCCAATGGTTGGCTCCACACCCACCCCTAAACTGTTCTGTCCTGCCCCTTTAGTTTGCAGAGTTCCCTTATTCCCTTCCTGACTGGGTCGGGCAGCACCCTTTGACCCAACCCTGACGCTTGCCTTTTTAGGACTGGACTGGACTTTCACAACCACCGGCACTCCCACCTGTCCCCACATCAGTGCCTAGGGGACTAAGTGAAAAGTGGGGTGGACTTGTTCTCAGGGGGATGAGGCCTCTTCCCTGATGGCTTCTGGCTAATTACCATGGCTCACCTGAAGCAGGCCAGGTCCTGCATGGGGATGTGTGTGCCCACCTGAGATAGCTCAGCTTTCACCTCTGGGGGGCTGAGCAGTCTGCACCCAAGGCCAGCTGCCAGCGCCACCTCCCTGCCCCCCACCCAGCACAGCCCGCAGCAGACCAAGGCTCCAGGCTGCTTTATCTCCTGCTAACACCCACTCCTCTCCCTCCTGCTCTCTATCGGGAGTTTCCTGGTGACTCTAATGAAAAACCCTTGTGTCACATTGAAAAGTTGCCAGTTATTGCTGCTGGGAATAAAACCCACTTTCTGCTAGGCAGAGACACACGAACGTTTCAAACTGGGGAGGGAAGAGTGGTTGTTGGAATAATCTCTTCAAGGTGAGTAGCCTCTCAAGCAAAGTGAGATGGCGCCAGGTGGGGCCCCCCTTACAGCAAGAAAACAAACGAACAATGGACCCTGCTGGGCTCCCCCTCCTCACTGTGGCTGTGTCTCCTCCCTTATCAGCACGCCAGCCTGTGTGGGCCTCCCTAGTGCTGACTGGTTCAGGCTCCTTCCTCACACCCCGAGTGTTACTGTAGGCCTTTAGCAAGGAAAGGGGAGCAAAGGAACCAGACACTGAGCTTAATCCACTGGGAAGCTGTAGACAGATAGCAACAGCTTCATACCCCAGGGGATTACAGTGTTGCTCCACCAAGGTAATTAACACTCTTCTCGATTGTTGGATTATTTTGGAGAGTCCCTGGGGAGATGCTGGACCATAGAGGTCCATCAGTCTAAGTGGGGAATGGACCCTATCCAAAGCCCATGGAAACCTGGGAAGTTGATTGATCATTTTGAGAAAGCACCTGGTCCAACACAAACCCAAGCTCCTGGCTATAACCCCAGGGGAACAAAGAAGTTTGCCCTCTTGCTTGTGACCCACACTCACACGTTGCATGCACCTGCTCCCTCGTGGCCTCCAGGAGGGAGCCTGAATACTGCAGCACAGCAGTGGACTACAGCTGGAAGCCCATGCTAGGCTAGCTGGAAGCTGGATTGCACTGTACTTCAATATGGAGCAGAAATTCTGCACAGTGGCCTTTGTCCTGGTCCTACTGAAGACAAGACTGGAATTTTTCCATGGTGAGACGGATGGAGATGGGACATTGGAAAGTCAGGAGGGAAACCCCTTTAATGTTGATGAATGTACATCGTCAATAAACCATACCACACAGCCACATCCTCCTGTGCGGGTCTCAAGAAATTCTTTTCCTTTAGACACTGCAAGAGCCCCACTTCCACCAAGAACACAAGGATAAGATAAAGCTGGGTGTCCCTTCTGAGGTGAGCTCTAAGTGGCGGACGATGGCTTCACCTAGTCCTCAGAGACCTGGGCAGTCCACTTGCACATTACACTAAATGCAGGTTCCTTAGATCTACCTTGAACCCCTGAGTTCAGATCTCTAGAGCTAGGGGTGGGGATCTCCATGCTTCATCCCCTCCCTCCCCTGGATCATCATGCTCCGAACCACTGGACCTGAGCAGCTAGCACCAGGGAAAGATGCTCTCACACACACTCTCCTGGGATCGCAAACTCTCAGGTGCCCTTTGAAGGCAGGCATTGCTGACACCGCCCCTCACAGTATCCTGGGACAGCCATTCTTGTCCCTTGTTCATAGAGAAAGTAGCTCATCATCCCTCACACCAAAGAAGTTAAGGTCCTCCCAGCTATGTCACTCACCCGTACCCTCCCGGGACAAAGGCGCCCACTGTGAGATTTAAAAAGCAACTTTAAACTGGGTACCCCAAAGCCCCACTTTATGACAGTGGGGTGAGGTGGCTCCATAGCCCACACAGTTGGCTGAAACTATGACTCGAGAACGATTGGTCTCTGTCTAAGCTGAGCTCCGGCCCCGGCCACCTCCTGAAGCATTTGCATCGGGGAAAGAGGAGTATCAGTGATTCTCAATGGGGGTGACTTTGCCCTCCCAGGGTACATTTGGTGATGTCAGCAGACATGTTTGGTTCTCACAGCTGTGAGGTGGGCAGAGGTCGGGGATGCTGCTAAACACCGAACAATGCACAGGACAGCCTCCTACCACAAAGAAGTATTCAGCTCAGAATGTCTATAGTGACACCATTGAGAAACGCTGGGCTAGATATGAGATGCCACCAAAAACATGAACTCTGATCCAGGAATGTGATTGGGCACCTCAAGGCAGAGCACTAATGTGGGCTTTGAGTTTTGGAGGGAGGTTTTCTTAGCCTCAGTTTGTTATTTATCTAGAAGGAAGGGACCAGCAGGCAAAGGCTTATAGGTTGAGCACACATCCAGCCCCCCTGTGTGAGCTGGGCTTAAAGACCCACTTTCCTCTCAGAGCCAGTAAATACTAGGACCCGACTTAAGCCCTCGATGCTTCAGATATTGGTCATCGCTTTAACAGTAGCTCATAGACGAAAAAACGTTCGGTTTGCGTGCTGCCTGATCAGACTTATTCCACACAGATTCCCCAGGTGGTCTCCCCTCTTCACCGAGAGTTCAAAAACAGACTATTTCGTTGACAAAATTGAGTCTCCCATGAGTTAACAGAGTGGAACCAGCTCCTGGCGCAGACTGGAGCGCCAACGCTGTGCGGAAGCCAGGCCGGGGGTGCCAGATATTTTCTTTACAGTTGATTCGACGCAGTTCAGTGGCTGATGGTGTGTGGAGGCGGAACGCCTCCCGACGGTGCGGTCCCCTCCTGTTTGCACGGCTAGCACACAATGTCTTTCCTGCTATAAAGTGAATCTGGGCATTTTATAGCTGAAAAGGGAGCCATTCCACTTAAATTAATCAAGGGGCTGAAGGCAAAAGAGTATTGTGTAGCTTTTAAGGACATTTGACCTCGATTGACAAGGTCCCGAAAAGCTTCAGCAGCAGACATTTCTTGACGTCTCTCAGGGAAGGTCTGCTGTCTTGGCTGTATGCTACGCACTTGGACCCTGTGGCCTCTTCACCCGTCGGTGTATGGGAGGCCTCTGGTCTGCCTCTTGGCACGGTACACACCTACTAGCCATACCCCGTAACATTTCTCTGTGGTTAAGTTAGAAGAGAGTAGTGGTTTTACTGAGGGAAACATACCTTTCAGCCACTTTTGACATTTTTAAACAATGTCTGTCAATCTGCGCATTCAAAAACGTTATCTGGGGAAAGACATAACAGAGGTGTTAAGAGCAAACTAGAATTTCTTTTCCTCCTTTCATCCCGGGAACCCAAATCCTGTATTTCTACCAAGATCCTAGCACCTCCTCTGGACAGACTTCAACCTTCCACTTTTGCCCTTCAGCAACCTTTTTGCCTTGCTGAAGATTCCTACTGCCGTCGGGGTTCACAGTTCAGCCTCTGCCGTACATTCTCCAGTAGTACTGTGCTATAGCTGAGGCCCTGAGGCCCAGAGGGAGGGCCAACGTGAAGGTAGTACTCATTCTGCAAAGCTTAGCGACAGCATGGACAGGTGACATACACTGTAACACCTGGTTTGACTAATCTCCAGTGATCTTCCTCGGCACGCCTTTCACACCTACGTCACACCCATGAGCTCAGTGTACTTGACTAGAATCATCAAATAGCCATTTTACATGCATCTGTCTCCTCGTTCCCACCCAATAATACACTTGCCAAGGGCAGGCACTTAGCTCCTTGGGGTCCCCCCTGCCCCTGCAGAAGCCAACAGAGCATAAGGTAAGGAGTAGACTTGAAGTTACTTCATTATCAGTGAACCCCAAAAAGGAGTAATGTAATTGGCTACTGTCTTCCAACTTGGGTTGACCGGTTAACTCTTCATCATGAGCATAACATTCAACTAAATAATACCAAAATGGCTTTGGGAGTGGAGCTTACTTTATTCGTAAACAGTCCTTTTATATCACAGCAATAAGTCAGTGGTCCTGGACTAGCTTGCTCTGGAAGCACATTACAATTTTATTAAGGACCCTGTAACACAAGTCCCTCCCTGCTCCAGCTTCTGGGGAGACCCCACTGTAGCAGTCACCCCGCGGCATTGGGATAACTTATTTACATCCTTCTCTCGTAACTGCTGCAGGACCTTGGTAGAGAATTTTCACTCTCAGGCTTCCATGGGGTGTCCACACACGGCACTCAAAGGTTCAAGTCCCCCACAGCTGGGTTTCGCTGTGGTTTCCAGGAACTCCAAGCTCACTAACGTTGCAGAGATGAACACTAAAAGGGTTTCACACTTGCCACATCTTCTCCTGGGAGGGTGGGAGTCAACTGATTTACCTGTTTCCGGATGTCCTCTTTTGTAGTTTTCCTGATTGGCTGACTGGGTATGTGCACGGGGCTCTGCGACTGGGACTCTTCTGTCACCCCATACACTGACTGGAGAAGAGGCAAGAAAACGGAGTCACGCACCCTCGAGCTGAAGGGGGTTTTAGGGGTGAGCTAGCTCAACCACTCATCCAGTGCTTCCAATCCCACACTGACGTCCCAACAATAAATGATCAGCCTCCTCCTGAATTTCTCCAGTGATGGGAACTCTGTCTCTGAGGCAGCCCTGCCCTATCTGTGGGTTACCACTGCTAGAAGATCTGTCCTTTTGTTGGGGCCTCCTTGCATATGAGTGTTTCTCCAAACATGGTCCATAGACCATTTGCAAAGAAACACCTGGGGGCACCTGGTAAGGATGCACATTGCTGAGTCCCACATGGACCTACTGAGTCAGAATCTTTGGGGGTGGGGCTTAAGAATCTGTACATTTCTCAACTGCCCCAGGTGATTCTGAGACACGAGCCAGTTCGAGGACAATTGCTGAAGATTATGCACAAAGGTCCCTAGATTCTCCGCTGGCCTGCACATGACGTGCCTGTCTAGACAAACTTGAGACGGCAGGGTTTCGGATTTTGTGCTTTTAAGGTAAACAGTTTTCTAGCCTCAGTTTCTTCACATGCCTGCCCACAGCTATGGCTACTTTTTAAGCTGTTGTTGGTGTCAGAAGCAGATTAAAGACGATCTTTGCTTTGGGAAAGGAAGAAAATCCTGGAGGGTATACAATGCACAGCTGAAATCAGGGGCTATTCACATCGAAAAATTTTAATTCAGCTTAATGAGCGAACCTTTTTAACCTTTTGTGGGTTCTTCAAGCGTCGACATTTTCTGATATCCATTTCTGTGGTGTTCACACAGCCTGGCTGAGAAAAAAAATCATCACGTAAATTACTGAGCCAAAATCACCCTTCCAGCCTAGCCCAAGTGACACCATCAGAGCCAATCTTTATCTTTCCCATTATGCATAACTGCACGATTATCTCCATTTTGCCATTTACAATTTTTTTACAAAGATGTGAATGTGTTCCTCTGTAGAGTTCTCATAGGAAATATAAAGGCTTACTTATCTCGGGATGCTATGTAAAGTATAGTGCACAGTTTATAGGAGCAAACTTATTATTTGAAGTGACAAGGTCGCTTCGGTCACAGCCTTTGTTATTTCACAGGTCTAACCAACTTAAAACGTTCCAATATCAGGATGGGGAGTTATTTCTTTAGTTTTGCTCTTACTCAGTTTTTAGGATGGCTGAAATAGTATATTCATTTTAGTTCCATTTCATGAGGGAAATGCAAGATTTGTATTAGTAATACGAGATTAGAAATACAGTCAGATATCATTACTCGTGGATTTCATGTTTGTGAATTTGCCTACCTGCTAAAACTTACTCATAACCCTTAAATCAATACTCGGGTGCATTCACGGTCATTTATGGGCATTGACAGAGCCGCAAATATTTGAGTTGTCCATTGTGCATGTTCCCAGCTGAGGCTGAATAAGGTGACACTCTGCCTGACTCCTTGTTTCAACTCTTAATACTGTAAATAAGTGTCCTTTCCAACGTCTGTTTAGTGCCACTCTGCACATTTCTGTGTTTTTTTTTTTGTTGTTGGTGATTTTGTTGTTTAAAATGGCCACCAAGCACAGTGCTGAAGGGCTGCGTAGGGCTCCTATGTGCCTCGTGGATAAAATACGTGTGTTAGATACGCTTTACTCTGGCCTGAGATCTAGCGCTGCTGGCTGTGAGTTCCATGTTCATGAGTCCACAGTATATGGTAAGGCGTCTTTAGACGGAAACTCCCATTAAATAAGGTTATGCCTTGATCAGCCGATGCAATGGTTCAAATCAGCGGTTCCGCGTCGGTTCAGCATTCGCTGATTCAGGGTCTGCAGCCATTTGATGGAACGTAACTGTGAATAATAAGAACTGGCTGCATTTGAAATGGAATATTCTAAGATTTAGAATTGAACAACAGTGAATATGGAGATTGCTTATTTTGGGACTGTAAACTTCGGGGGCCCAAAGGTCCCAGGTGGAATTCCCAGTTTCAATTCTGTATTTTCGTGGACGGATAATTTATGAAAGGTAGAACTGGCATGCATTCCAGAAAATCTGCTGAGATTACATGAAACAATGGCAAAACCATTTCACAAACCTTAGCGATTTTCTTAAGAATGAGACATCTGGTGGCTAAAGATAGTCATTTCTTTCAGGAGGAGGAAGTGGGAAAATAAGAAAACCTAGAGAACCGAGCGGAGCTTTCTCACCACCGGCCTGTGGACATCCCAAAAGGCTCGTTCTTGACTATCCAGAATTTTCCTTTCTGTCTTGTCCTTTTTCCGATCAATCCTGGAAGAGAAAGGGAAGGAAATGAAATCTTTTGTATTCTGAGCCCCCTGTTGCCAGGAGCTGAGCGCACATGGGACAATGGGCACCTGCGTGGTCCCTGCCGTGCGCAGGGCGGTAAAGTACGGGTGGACAAGCCCCCCAAGGGAACCTCAGGAAGTCCGCATGGGGTGGGAGAACTTGTTGTAGGGTAGACGGCTAATTCCCACACATATGAAATGGACATGGTGGGCCCAAGGAGAGGACAGGGCTGCTCCTGTCCACTCGAATTGTTATTTAGATTATTAAGAACTGAATCATCCACTGACAATCAAAAGTGGATACTGTGCACTCAAATTACAGGAAGGACTAACCATAGGCTCACGTGTTTTATCCTCAATTTGAAAGTCAGCTTTAGATTCTGAGTCGGTAGAAAATGTCTTCAGAACGCTGCAATTATGTGTTTTAAGAGTCACTTAAACCATCTGGTTTTCTAATAGCAGAGTAATAGCCCTAGCGTGTGACAAGATTCAGAAGGCCAGTATCACTGGCCTCAGCTGGGGGAGGCACAGATTGCAAGAGGGAAATTGCAGGTGACAAAGACAGATTCTATGTGCTGATCAGGAGTGTAGATAAGAGGCTTTAAAACACAAAAGCCTGTATTACTTCGTGTCATCTCTCTAAGTAAAAAGTAACTCAGATTAATTGTGTGTAACCTCTGGTTCTTGGCCCTCTTGGGAGCAATTTAGTTTACTGGACTGAAATAAACCCATAATCACCCTGTGATTTTTGTGATAATTACCATGCACTTAAATGGCCCACAATTATAATATAATCACAGAGTTAATAAAAAAGTTAATCAAGAAATACCATATATGTACAAAGTGACAATCTCCCCTCCTTTTACAACACACCATGTTGTATGATTCTAAAAGCACAAATTAGCTCTTCTCTGCTTCCTGGTGGCTTCTGAGTACATGGGCTCAATTCTGCCTCTTTTTTACCCACTCAACCACCCTCCTGCTTTCTCCTTCCTTCCTCAGGGTCCTGCTGCAGCTTAGCGCCCAGTGCCAGGGCCCATCTCCATTAGAGGCTGCTGGGAGCACTGGGGTGGGCAGCAGGTGCCTGGAGTCCCATATGGGAGAAAGGCAGAGATTTGCAAAGGGAGGGCGAGGGTCATGGCACTGTGCCAGCCACTGGACCCAATGACCTCAGGTCATTTTAAGCCATATCCATGATCAGTGCTCACCCAAACAGCCAGAGACCTGGCCCTGGGTGATGGGCTGCAACACTGCCCAGAGAATCAAAGGGGGTCCCCTGAAGACCTCAAGGGGGGCTCTGCTCAGGTGCAAGTGGTACCCAGAGAAAAGGTACTCACCTTTGCCCAGCTCAGCATCCCTATCCCTCCCCTCCTCTGACCCATTTCTTTTGTTAGCCCTCCTGATGAAACCACAGACCCCTGGCAGAAAGGCTAAGAGGGAGCCTGGGTGGAGCAAGTCCATGTCCCGGAACCAAAAGAATCTGGTTGACAACCATGTATGTGGGCTGGGGACACTCACTGCCCACGTCTCCTGTTTCCTCAGAGAGGAGGGACTTTCCACTATACCCTCTGGGAGGAAAAATATGGGGAAAACACTCTGACTTATCTCCTTCTTTCATTTAGTGCACTCCAGGGCACGAAGAACGACTTAACTTACTGGAGGATTGGAGAGAAGAACCTGAGCAAGCTCAGGTTGGTTCTTTCTGAACGCTTGTTCTCCGAGTGCAGTAAGCTTACTGGGGTCAACTCTGCCCTGGTGGGGGTGCCTGCAGACACCCAGCTCTGCCCATGGCGGGCAATTTTAATTCCAGGGTAGAGGTCTATGGCCATGCATCCAAAGTCATGTGCTATGTATCTAGCTTTTATCAGTAATAATCTGATATTTTGGACTCCAGATGTCTGACTTCTGTGCCTTAGTTTTGATTGGTTCTGAACCCCTGGGGGTGGGGTGTGGTGAAACTGGGTGAGGAGTTACTTGTTGGCCTCCTTAAAACTAACTGTGTTTTCCTGTGAAGACAAAATTTCCAGATCTACAGGTCTGATGTTTTTCAGTTTCTGAGCACAGGAGAAGAATTGAACATCTCTTTGGGGAATAAATACATCGTCTTATAACCAGAGTTCTGCATTTGGGAGGAATGAACACACATTTTTGAAGTTATTTTAGAGTGCCATTGGTTATAAAGATGACCTTGATTTCTACTCAGATGCTCTCATGAGAGATGACAAGGACTAACCACAACTGGCCAGCCGTGGAAGGAGAACTTGGGCAACCCCACACTCACACCACCTCCAAATTCCAGAGACTTTTTCTCTTTGCAAGAGTCTCTATTCGGTTCACCTACTTCACTTGGGCTTCCGCTTGCATAAAGATGAATTCCCACTTCCTTGCAAAGGCCCTCTGGAGTCTTGCTAAGTTTTCCTAGTGAGAAATAAAAATGAACAAGAAGGCATTAGTCATCGTAAGTTTGCACATCGGCACCTGTGCTTGTTACAGGGCAGCCATCTATTTTGGTTTCTCCCAACAAAATGGCAGGGCCCCACTTTAAATCCACTGGACATGAACCCAATTTGACTTTGCACCAGACCCTGCTGTCTGGAGCAGGACTATCAATATTCATTTACATACCCATTAAGTCTGAAGTTTCTGTGGTTCATCTGATGCCTCTCCTGTAAAACACACAATGTGTTTTACGGGAACATAACTCAAGCAGCCCTTGTCAAGGCTACTGAAGCGCAGGTAAATGGTTTGTGGCTATTCATGCAGGGAAAGAAACAAGGCAGTCTTTGCAACCTGCTGGACATCTCTGAAAGCAAAACTAAGAATGCATTTCTCAAGACTCATCCCCCAGCAGGGGTCTCGGAAAGGGGCAGGAAAGAATCCAGAGGACTTGGCACTCATGAAGTGCCAAGGTTTTTGAAGGCCCAGGTTCAGTAGCGGGGAAAAAAGGAGGGTCTGTGTTTGTGATGTTCATGAAAGGAAAATCCCAGAACAGAGAGAAAGAAAGGCATCCAGTGCCACCTTGAGAGGAAGAGGGAAGAAGCCTTTTCTCTAAGTCTGTGGACTTACCTCGTGGCACAACAGGACAGTGGGGAGGGGTGTTTGACAGGTCCCCTAATGATCTGCCTAATGCTGATGGAATGCCAGGCTGGAGCCCACATTATGCTATGTATTTTCATAGAGCTCATGCCAGCACAAATTGATTACTCCCATTAGTGGATTATTAATATAAAAGGAGCCTCAGTTGAAGATCAACACATGGAAATTCAGTTATTTAGGCTTGGTGTACAAGTACCTCAAAAAACCCCTGTCCTTTTGATTCTTCCATTGTTTACTGGAAGCAAAGCTGGTAATGCCTAAATGCCAGGCACTTGCGGGGTGGTTATATAAATTATGGCACAGCCATACCATGGAATACTAGGCAGCCATTAAAATGACAATGTAGATCATTATTACTTCCATGAAAAGATTCTCAACATACTTACAGTACAAGATTGGGGAAAGAAGTGGCTTGAACAATAACGTTTATGGTATCATGCACATCTTTTTGTAAAGAAAAAAACGTATGTACAGGAAGAAGCTTTGGGGAGATGGCTTGCAGCTGATTTCCTCTCCTTTCTTTGCTGTTTGAATGTTTGTTTTTACCAAGAGCATATGTAATAATAAAATTATTGCATTTTGGAAACAAAATACTTTTTTTTTGTTTCTAACCACTTTTACACAGAACCTCAACCTGAACAAACATGTCAATGCCACATTCTTCACAAATACCAAAGCAGAACGTTATGTGGCAAGAGAAGAAAAGACTGAATATTACCTCCTCTGGACAGTTTGTGAAAATTTAGCCCATTGCCCCCACTCTCAGTGACCCATATAAAGTTTGGCTAGGGGGAAATATTCTGTCAGCAAAAATTAAAAATATTTAAAAAATTATCTGTGAAAATCAAGTTCTCTTGAGACGGTCTTTGTTAATGGGCATGGATATGAGTGTGATGATGGGCCTCCAGTTCTTGCATGGAGTCACATCTTTTTGAAGGAGGTGGAGGAGGAGGCAGCTGGGAAAATATATACTTCATAGGCTATTCATCTATCTTATCTTCTGGATTGAATTTGGTTTTCAGATCGTGATCTACTGCCAAGTGAGGTGACTTGGATATAAAGATGCCATGAAAAATCATCATATTCTAAAATAAAAAAAATTATCATATAGTATATTAAAAATGACTGTATTATATATTAAATTTACTTTTTCTCTTTTGGTATACAGTTTTATGAATTTGAACACATGCATGGATTCATGTAACCACCACCACAATCAGAATACATAGTAGTTCCTTCACTTCCCCAAACTCCTTCGTGCTATCTCTTTACAGCCACATCCTACCTCCACTCATAACTCATGGCAACCACTGATCTGTTTTCCCTCATGAGAGTTGTGTATTTAAAATAATGTCACATAAATGGGATAGTACGGTTTGTAATCTTTTGAGACAGGCTTCCTTCACGCAACAAGTCTTTGATACTCATCCAAGTGGTTGCATATATTTACTTGTTTGTTCCTTTTCACTGCAGAGTAGTATTCCACTGTAAGGCTGTATCAGGGGTTAGTTAACTGTTCATGTGTTAAAGTTCATTTGGGTTGTTTGCAGCTTTTTTTTTAGATTTTATTTATTTATTTTTAGAGAGGGAAGGGAGGGAGATAGAGAGAGAGAGAGAAACATCAATGTGCGGTTGCTGGTGGTTATGGCCTGCAACCCAGGCATGTACCCTGGCTGGGAATCGAACCTGTGACACTTGTTTGTAGCTTTTGATCATCACAAATAAAACTACTATGAACATTACTGCACAGGTTTTGGTGTGAACCTAAGTTCTAACTTAATAGGATTGCTTGATTATATGGTAACCATATGTTTAACTTTACAGGAAACTGCCAAACCATTTTCCAGAGTGGCTGTACCATTTTGCATTTCCACCAGCAGTGTAGGAGAGTTCCAGTTGTTCCACATTCTCACCAGCACTTGGCATTATCAGTACTTTTTATTTTAGCCATCCTAATATGTGTGGTAGTATCTAGCATGGATTTAATCTGTAATTCCTTAGTGAATGATGTTGAACATTTTCCATGAGCTTATTAATCATCCTTCTGTCATCTTTGGTGAAGTGGCTGTTCAGGTTCTTTGCCCATTTATAAGTTTAGTTGTTCTCTGTTCACTGAGTTTTAAGAGTCCTTTACATAAAGATGCAATTTTATTGTGATGGTAAGAGGAGCTGAGAACAAAGGAGGGGAAATAGAAGACATTTCCTTTCCACTGTCTAGAAAAGACTGGGGTGTGGAAAAGGGAAAAATATGAGCTAAAACCAGTTGCAAATATGTTTGTACTCTCCTCCCATACCCACTCTGGAAAATAATCATACTTACTGCTTCATAGTCAGCTAATTCCAGCCTTGCTTTATTCTGCATTGTCCTCTTACAGAGATAGATGGCTGAGGGGAAAAGAGAAATTATAACACATGCAAAACCAGTGTGGTGGAATCACAAATTCATCCATCCATCCATCCATTCATCTATACTCCTTCCATCTTTCCATCTACTCATCTATCCACTCATCCATCCACTCATCCATCCATCCATCTATCCAGCCAGCCAGCCAGCCAGCCAGCCCAGCTGGCTAAGTCCCCAGCACTGTGCTGTGAAGAACATGTTTCTATATACAATCCATAACACCCTATCTCTAGGAATTTTCCTGCAGGTCAGGATCAGGCAAGGACCCTATTTTCTAATTCAGACAACCCCCCTCCGTCCTCCTCACTCTCCTTCACTCCAAACATGCTCCATCAGGATGTTCTTTCTCAAATATAACCATGTTACCATCTTGCCTAAAAGGCCTTCATTGACTCCTCAGTGACCTCAGAAGAAAGGCTGGGCTCCTGTGAGTAGCAGATTTGGTTCTTTAAGATCCAGTGTGTTTGTCTCTTCCTTTCTCACTCAGGGGTGTGAGACTACCAAACATCTTTCAGTTCCAGTCCCCTGTAAATGTGTCTGCTCCATAAAAGCCCTTTCCTTTTCCCCTCTCCTTTCCCTCTGTCTATCTGGTCACCTCCTATCAATCTTTGAAGGCCCAGCTTGGTGATCTGGATAGCTCGGTGTCACATCCATCCATCCGCAACCATGCAGTCCCAGTGCACTGCAATAGTGGGCTTACTAGACGGTGCCCTGCTCTACGCTGAAGGCTCTCCAAGGGCAGAGGCTGTGTCCTACCTAGCCTGGGGCCTGGTCTGCCAGCGGAGTCAACGAACAGAGTGCCCTCTGGTCTCTCTTCCCAAGTGAAGAAAGGGTTCTTGGCCCTCAGTTGCCAGTTGACATTCTTCCTCAAACATGACCTTTATCACTTCCTGCCTCTGCTCCTTTGGTATCTCCCTTTGTCTCCAGTGCCACACAGACCCACCCAAAGAAGGCAAGAGATAAGTGGTATGAATGAACAACAGAATAATCAGAGGGGAAGGCCGGAGGGGACCTATTTTTGTTTGACAACTTAAGTACACCAGGACACCCAGTCAGCTCCTGGCTGAATTAAACAACCTCCTCCATGTGGTCTAAAAAATTTGCTGACAGCAGCCTAGGATATGCCAGAACCTTGTGGTTAGCAGCCTACTCTGTCTGCCCACACTTCTGCTCACACCAGTCAAGCAGTAGGTGGATGAGAGTCAGTTGTGTTTGTTCTCAAATCTGCTTATGTTAGGCATGCCTGTTATTTCACTAATGCCAGTGCCCTAAATATTACATACGCTGATGCAATGAATGTGAAAAGAGAGAGTCGTTCCTGTGAAATTGAATGGTTCAGAACAAACTTGATAAAGAGGAGTTGGCTAAGACAACAGCTGATGAATTTGGGACAGGTGAGATAACTGAAAAAAAAAAAAGAGAAAAAATAATAAGAATTTTCAGAGAGGTAAACATACAGGTTGTTTCAAAAGTGTTTTTAAATCCTGTATGTGCTTTAAAGATGCCCAAATTGGATGATTTATTTTGAGTGTGGTTTGCTTAAGAAAAAACCCAAATTATTAGGACCTATAATCAAAGTGACTCTTTGGTCCTACCTTGAAAGGCTGCCAAATGAATATTTCTTTGTATATCTTACATTAATATAAAGTCATTAAGCTAGATCTATATCATTTTTCATGATTCTCTATTTACCAACTTTTTCAATGAACCAAGCAGCTACAGCTCTCCATTGTGTCTGATGAAGGCACCTCTCTTGGACCACCAGTTAGGTGGCCTGTGGAACTGGGGGCAACCCAGAGCAGGAAGCTTGGCACGTCACCGGCCCCAGCAGGCCTGGTCTGGATGACCCAGGAGCAGTGCAGGTCAGTGGAGGTAGTGGCTGCTTTAACAATGCTGCCTCAGACACATTTTGGATTGGTCAAATGTGAGACTCAAGAAAGTCTAAGTCAGATTGGGGCTTTATTTAGGCAGAATCATCCCAAGAAATTTGCAACCCTTCTGGGTCAAAATGGGCCAGCTGGGTTATGAAGTGTCAAGTACTATGCAAGGAATGGAAAGCTGGTGCTGTTCCTGATGACCATGATTCCCTGGTTGCATGCTTTAGGCTCACTTCCCCTGTGGCTGATGTCACGTATTAGGGAATCTGTTCACCAAAACTAGGGGGGTGGGATGGAGTTGTTGAATAAACCTCTTCTTGGCACAGGCCCCAGGCTTGTCTACGCTACCATGGTGCCTTCAACAGTGCTTGCTCTAACATCCAAGCAATCAAATGACCATTGGCAACAACAGCCAGTCCTGTAACAGGGCATCTGGGGGACTGGCTTTAAGCTCAGACGTTGGTCTTTCTTGGATATTTAATTTCTCATTAAAAAATCTTTGTCTTCTTGCCCTCACACTGGGTACTGCTGCCCGACTGGCATCTCACTTGGATGACCCGCTGTCATCACAAGCTCATGGTGTATCACCATGACAAAAATAGAACATGTTACTGAGGGTGAACTGGTGGTTGCCAGAGGGAAGGTCACTTGGGGATTGGGTGAAAGAGGTGAAAGGATTAAGAAGTGCAAATTGCTGGTTATAAAACAGTCACAGGGATTTAAAGTACAGCATATGGAATACAGTCAATAATATTGTGACAACTGTGTATGGCACCAGTTGGGTACTAAAAATATAAGGGGAGGGGGACACTTTGTAAAGCATATGACTGTCTAACCACTACGCTGTAGACCTGAAACCAATACACAATCATTCTGAAAGTAAACTATAATTAAAAATTAAAAATAAAAATGTAAATCATCAAGAAATGGAACACAAACAATTTATAGACAGAGTGGATTCATGTGCTACATGTGTAATTAAACATTTAAAAAAAATGACCTCATCCTATTTCCATTGTGCTTTAAAAAACTGACTCCTTTCCCAGACTGCCTTTACCAGTGACGGCATCATTATTTACCTCAATCTCCTAAACTAGGGAACATAGGAAGTATGTATTTCTCTATTTTCCCCATACCCTGTGATTACTTTCTAGAACAATGGAAATTTAGCATTGCAAGTAACCTTGGCAACCATCCAGTGCAGACCCCTCATCGACAGCTGGGAAAACTGAGGGCCAAGAGAGGTGAACTGATTTACGCACGGGCTAGTTAGTGGAGGAGGTGGAAATAGAATTAAGGTCTAGTTCAGAGCTTTTTCTACTATGGCATTCATTGTCTCATTTACTTATTCATTTACTCATTAAAATTTTTACTGAACGTCTCTTATGTGCCAAGCCCTGTTTTAGGTGCTGGGGAAGTCACCATAAAAGCAGCTACCACGCATATGAAGCTCCCTGAATGCCAGGCACCTCCCGACATTCAGAGGTCCACTTACTTCATCCTCATAATAATCCTGTGGAATGGGTTCTCTTATTATCCTCATTTCACAGATGAAGAAACCTTTTCAGGTCATCTTCCACCACTGGGGATCTACCATGGCTCCCTGAAACTGCTGGATCCACTCTAAATGTCTCTCCTTGTCCATGAAGGCTTTTTAAAGAAATCTGTCCCTCCCAAACAATTCAACCTTCTCAATCTTTTCTTCATCAACTTAAAACCTTTGAATCGCAGAGCAGACTCCTCACTACGCCCTTCTCACCCCCACATGCCACTTCCCTGGCATGCTTGGAGGGCATGACTGTGACTTACTTAAATCTGTGACAGAGCCCTAGACACGGAGTAGGTGATCAGGAAATGTTTGTTGAATGAATAAAAGTTTCTGGTTCTTTGCCATTCCAAACCATACCTATTCTGAATTCTTAGCCTCAGTTTTCAGATCCTTCCCGGCAAAAGGGCCATCACAGAACCAGTAAGATCGAATGTCAGCCTAGGAGTAATAATACCAACCACCACTGTGGTTTTATAGACTCCCTACTATGTGCCACACACCAGACCTTACCTGCATTTCATTTAATCCTAACAAAACAACACTAGCAGACAACTACTATTATCATTCTGCTTTTAATATGAGGTCACTAAGGCACAGAGAGGTTAAGTAACCTGCTAAGACCACATAGCTAGTGGAGCTAGTCAATTTATGGCCCACTGTGCTGAATTCTTGGTACTTATTTTCTGACTAAACTGCTTTGGAAGTGCTGTGAGTGATCTTGAATCCTGCACTTTAACTTCATCTGATTTGCCAGAATCGAGACATAGGAATTAAAAAATAATTTTGCTTTAATGAGAGCCTGACATAAGCTGTTATTTCTCTTCCTATGTATGCTGCACAACTAAAATTATAAAATGGAGAAAACCTGTAGAGAAAGGGAAATAATGCCTGTTGTATGGAGTATCAGATGGCCTATGCTTCATACTCAAGTAAATATTTTAATCTTACTTGGGCCCAGTTATCTGGTCTACCATCCTCCCACCTTCCCTGTTGCCTGGGAAAATGTTGGCTTCCACATTCACAAGGGCACATGGCTGCTGCATGAAACTGAGCTACAATTATTCAAATTCCAAGTTGGGCTTTTGTTAGCAAAATTTCAGCCTCAGAAACACTTTGTTTTATGGGCAGCCAAATGTAGCTCCCACTCTGAGCCAGGAGCCTTGTTGGATCCACTTCCCACAGTATTTAGAACACAGCACAGGTCCAGAGGGTCCCACAATGGTGCCTGCAGACAGCTGATGAGACAGCAGAGGGGTCTGTCCTCTGGGTGAGGGCCCTTTTCCAGACTTGGAAACAGAACATCCGTGTCCTGATTAGGCAATGACTTATCCACATTCCATCCTGAGGATTGCTTCCAACTGCTAGTTACCCTACCCTCACGTGGGTAATCAGGAGGGTGTAGTTTGTCGCATGGGTCTCCCAGACTGCCCCCACCCCCACACCACCCACTGCAGCTAACTCTGCCTTCTTGTGCAAATGACCCTGCAAAGAGCCTGGGAGAGGCTGCAAGTCTCTCATCAGGGGTCCCAGGGCCAAAGAAAACCACTGTGGACCGCCCACTAGCTAAGTCAGCGATGAGGATGCTGCACAAAGGGATGCGTGCTGCTGTGATGATGTCATGCACGGGACCAGGATAGGAGCATGGGCCTTGGAGCCACTCAGTCTGAGGTCAAATTCTGCTGCCTCTGCTGAGCGTCTGCTAAGAACCTTTAATAAGGAACCAGAATCATCAGCAAATACTCAGCACCTGCTATGCCTCTGGCATGCACTGGGGGATAAGAAAGTGAACTAGGTGGAACAGTCCCACCACCATGGAGCTTCCAGACAGGTAGAACACAGTGTGATAAGGGTGAGGAGGTGGCCTTTCTAGGCCTCAGGTTCTTTATCTGAAGTAGACGGTCAATATCACTCCTTTAGAGGATTGGCACATAGAAATAAAGTCTCCACAGAGAGTATATGACAAGAGTCTAATGATCCCTCTTTTTACAAAGGTAACTCCCTGCTTACCCAGCTCTCAACTTCACCCACTGTTTGTCATTCTAGGCCAGAGTAACTGCTGTACAGCCCTCTCTGGTCTGTCTCCATTTTCCCATAAATTCCAACGATCAAAAACACCAATGAGTTATCAGCAAGCCTTAGCAAGTCTGTGAGAATAGAAAGGGTCAGGGGGAGGTGGCCTCTTGATCTAGTCCTCCCAGGAGGGAACAGTCAACAGCCACTGTTCTACAGTATAGCTGGGGACCCTAGTGTTCCATGGTCCCACAGAATGAACATACTGGCCACACTCTATAAACTTCTTCCTTCCCCCATTTCCTTCTGATGGCTGCATCTTTCAGGGCCCTCTGCCTTTCTCTCATTATGTGGAACAGGATGTTTATTACATGTCAAGTGTATGACAAAGGGCTAAGCAGGGTAGAGGGACTCCTCCTCGTGCACTCCGGTCACGAGACACCAGGCATTTGTCTTCTGCACTTCCCAGAGTGATACTGAGTGTGGGCTGTGGCTTCACTGCTCACCATAGTCAGTGTTTTCAGGCTCCCAGCAGTTCGAAGGCCAGAAGTATGGAGCCTGCAAAAGAGCAGAGGTGTCAGGACTCAGAAGCATGCCAGCACTTGCTCGCCTCTGTCTAGGGGTCAGGGTCAGCCCTCCTCTGCACCCAGCACAGGCTCTGTCTCCATCTTCTTCATGCTGACACCATAGCCCAACCCCCTCCTGTTCTTAATGCAGCTGAGGCCAGTTGACATTTTAATCTAAGTGTTGAGAAATGAAACCAGGTAAACAAAATAAATGAGAAAGTGAGAAACTTAGTTTACAGGGCAAACATTTCTTATCCTGAGACAAAAGAAGTCTAACTACAGAAGTCAGACTGGCATGGTTTACTGGGTACAAGCCCCAAGTTCCTGAATTTTGTCCCTGCAAGGTCATATAATGAAGCCCTAACCCCCAGTGTGGCTGTCTGTGGAGTAAGGGAGTAAATAAGGTTAAATGAGGCCATTATGGTGGGACCCTGATCCCATGGCATTAGTGTCCTTATAAGAGGAAACAGCATCTCTCTCTCTCTCTTTCAAACACAAGAAGCAGCTGTCTGAAAGCCAGGATGAGCATGCTCACCATAAACCAGACACTATTGGCACCTTGACCTTGGACTTCTAGCCTCTAGAACTGTGAGAAATGCATGCTTGTTGGGCAAGCCTCCCAGTCTGTGGTATTTTGTTAAGGTGACCTGGGCAAACTAAGATACCCTTCAGCCCTGTCTGGAGAACTCTGCTTCCAAACCCTTTGGTTTTGACTTTGATACAACCCCTTATCCTCTGCCCCAGATCTAGGACAGGGTCTGAGAAAAACAGTGGAAAATGGGTGTGAAGGGTTAGTAGGTAGCAAATAGAAGTGTCACATCAGGAAGTCAGCATGGTACGGTAGAAAGATTGAGGACTTTGCCATCAGGCTGACTTAGGCTCAAATCAAGGCTGTCTCTCAGATTCACTAAGTGCCCCATTAATTCTCTGAACACCTCAGTTTTCCCATTTGTGATATTTGTCCCCCAGATGCTTGTTTTTCAGAATAAGTGAGGAAATATGGATAAATTGTCCAATAAATAGTAGGTTCTCCATGAAAGCTTTTTTGTATTGTTTGGGTGAAGCAATAAATGGCCCAGACAAAAGTTTTCTTGATTTTCCCAGAGCTGGTGGGAGGTAAGGATTACTCCCTGAAATGGCCCCAGTATTTGTAAGTGGTTCTAAACTGCGATCAGAGGATGATGAGAAGAAAAGGTTCTTTGGGAGGAGGAACTGGCGGGCCTACCTGGAAACGATAAAAGGTGCCGTCGTCCTTCAAGGTGAGGACGTGGTCCGAGATGGGAAAGACGTAGCCCTGGGCAGCTATGAGGCTTCCCAAGTGTATTGCTTCCCCTGTGGGGACAGGGGGTAAGAGACAGAAGTGATGAGGGAGCTGTCAGAGTGCAGGGCTACTCAGCTGAAATGTCGGCTGTGAGAGCAGAAAGGCAACCGGAAGTCAACTGTCATCACCCCTAGATAACTGCTTGACTGACTGACTGACTGATTGACAACTTTACGACACGATAGCACTGGGCTGGGGGACGATGTCCTTGGTTGGGAAGTGCTGCCATGTGTCTGAGACTTCTCTGGATCCCCGCTGTGAGTCTGACATTGCTTTAACCTCCCCTACCACCACGACTTCCAGAAGAAGGTGTTCATGGTTAAGATCGTGAGACTCGGTGCTTAACTGAGCTATTTCACTTAAAGTGCTGAGCAGTGTCTGGGGTAGGGTCAGTGCTCATTAAGTGCTGGCAGCTCTGATTCATATTTCTGTTGTCATCCTTTCTAATTACCCTCAGAAATGAGCATGCAGCCTCCCTGCCCGTAGAGACTTTGAACTCACATTGCACTCCCTGAAGTGACAGTCCCTTCTCTTCTGAACATAAAGGAAAACCTCAGTTTTGTGGTGAGCTGTGTAGTGGGCAATGGCACAGGGAGGCCAATCTGATAAAAATATTTATATTTTTGCAACAATAAACATGTTTTGTTAATTTAGGACCAACCATAAATACATTCACATAAATCATTAGGAACTTATGTGTATTCTGAGGAGAGCTAAGAAAAACAATAAATTGAAATGATTCTACCATGCATGATAATATAAAAGCATTCTTCACAAACATAAAAGTGCTCTTACTGGTAAAAACTAATTTTCGGAGGTGGAAATTATCCACACTAAGAATAGTCTTTAGGAATTATTAATTTCACAAGCTCTAATTTTTTTTAAGTGACTTGTCTTGGTTTTACTTGTCAACTTTTCAAGAGGTTGCATATAATCCAGGCGTTTTATGTTTTAAGAAGCACCAGGCCTGCTTCAGAAGGAACATACACTTGTAACTGGTGGAATCAAGGGAGTGGAGTTTTAGTTTACTTGTTTAGTGATGACCCGTTTGCGTTAAAAACCATGGGTCCAGCACGAAAGGGGTGTTTCATCACCTGCAGTCGCTCCTTCCCCAGGAAAGGAAGAATGAAGTCCAGTAAGAAGGTGACTTTCCTGTCACCAGTCTAGGGGCTAGAACTCACTCCATTCTTCAGGAAAAGGGGCGTTTGCTTAGAAATGTGGCAGACAGGAAGAAGAAAGAGAGAGGGGGGTGGAAGTGAGACAAGCCTGGCTTCCCAGGGCCTTTGTCTCATTTCTACCCTTCTGTTCCCAGCTGGTGAATTGTTCTATTTTTTTTATAAAAGATTTGATTTATTATTTTTAGAGAGGGGAGGGGAGGGAGAAAGAGAGGGAGAGAAACAGCAATGTGTGGTTGCCTATTGCATACCCCCTACTGGAGACCTGGCCCTCAACCCAGGCATGTAGCCTGATTGGGATTTGAACCGGCACCCCTTTGGTTTGCAGGCTGGCACTCAATCCACTGAGCCACACTAGCCAGGGCTAGTTGTTCTTAACTTCTTCTGCTCAACCCCTTCTTAGAAGCCCCGACAGGTACCAACACCTGGATGTCCTCTCAAGGGCATCAGAGCACAGTGGACCTTCCAGCCATGACCATTGTCATTCTGGACCTTTCACAGAAGCTTTTCATACCAGGACCAGCTGACAGTTCAGGATTCCTGAACCTGTTCTCCTACCACCAGCTGGTTTAGGATTCTGAGAATACTACTACTAACCAGGAGTGTTACTACTACTACTACTATTACTGCTGTCAGTACTACTACTAACAACAACAATAATAAAATATGTCAGTAATAGAATGATTGTTTTAGAAGGGCGAGAAAACAGTGCTCTTGGAGAAGAGACCATTGTGAAGAAAGGCGGTCCTCAGTTTAGCAATTGTAATCAAAAGAAATGTTGGCTTTAAATATGTGGAACGAAACTGTATTTTCATCTAGTGTTAGTAGAGACGTATTTAGTCTAGTTTTTATAAGCGGACAGCCAGAAGAAGTCCAGGCTGCATAAGAAAAACACGTACATGAGTTGATTCAGTTTCTTTCCTTAAAAGGATTAGCATGTAGAGTTTTCCCCTGAGGATAAAGAACTTGACTAGAATTAAGAGTTTTCACTAGTCATGAGAATGGTCATTAATCAAGGTGGTGAAAAAGGCTACTGTCACTTCCATTAACGACCTGCTTTTTCTGGCACTCAGATTTCTGGCAACTGCATTTAATCAAACTCTATGTAAATTGTATTGTTTTGTAGTCAATAGTATATTAGGAGCGTCAGATTAAAATACAGGAATGCCCGAGCTGACATCCTGACCCCAGCAAGGAAGCACAGCTGAAGAACGGGCACCTAGAAGGGGCACTTGAAAAAGTCTTTAAAAATCATAGCTCTTGGAGGCCATTTAATTTGGGGCCAATAGGTCTAATCCATAAGAACATCCGAATACAGATATGTGGGTATTTATAAACATGAACAATAGGCATCAAGAATACTCAGTTAAGACAGGGAGTGAATAAATTCAGAAAAATATTAACTAACAACACATGGGTAATAAGCTATACTTATCTAGAATTTTCATTTTTGGGGAACTCCCTATTTTCTAATTATGCTATAAAATAAAATTTAATGCTTATTTACTAGTGGGAGGACAGCTTTGGAAACTGTTTGATTGGCCAGAGTTTTGCTGTTGTTTTTCTGGTAAGGTTTTCCTAATTGAAATGCACAATTAAAGTTGAAAAAAAATCATTCCTTCACTACTTGCAGAAGCAGAAAACAGAAGGCATCTTGGCAAATAATTAAACATCTTAATTGTGGATCAGGCAATCCAATTTTAAGATCCGGTTCTCAAAAGCTGTTCCATAACAGCACTACAACTTATCTTTAATTGCTGTGGCTAATGAGAATTCATCTCATTTCGCATGTTATTGTATTGGGCTCTTTGGCATTCTCAATGGTTGCTCATTTTCTCAAAGGGTGGTTTAAATTTAAAGATAGATATTCAGCAGAGAAAAATAAATCAGTTTCATTTGTAAGAAGAGTGAGCCTACATTTTAGAATTTGCATCTATAAGCGCAGTCCTCAGGAGGGTAGGAAAATTGAGTCTGGAACTTGGTTATGGGATGTTTACTGATACCACAGGGGGCAAAGTCAGGATCAGAGGTCAAGTACCTGGGTCTTCGATGCAAAGGTTCTTCATAAGCCACTGCACAATGTCAGTACCTGCAATGATAAAGCGATTTGACTGAAGACCTCGTGGGTGCTCAGCTCCGTGGCAGAAGCAACAAGTTCACCTAAGAGACTCCTAATTCGAATAAGCACACGCCTGGAGAGCTGCTTTTCTTATCCAGCAAACTCCACCCATCAGTTCACTTCCACAGTCATAATCCCATCTTTTCTAAAAAACCTCCACTCTGATCACTAGATCTTGCGTCCATTTTTCCAGGGAGCACACGGAGACTTCCTGTGAATAGAGACTTGGGGGACTTCCCCAAGGCAGGCTGGTGACGTTTGATCATGCCTGGCCCTCAGGCCATTTCCTGTGGGAAGAGGTACCTTCAGCTACCTACCCTTTACTGAGAAGGGCTGACCAGGTTCCTGAAAGAATCTCTAATTTCTTCTGGCATGGGCCCACCCTGAAAGAAAGTACCCCTGTGTCTGTGGAAGCACTTCTGTGTATTCGCCTATTCCGTGGGCCACAGCTCGATTACACTTCAGACTCTCCTGCAGTGGGCTGGGTTCTGACAGTGGCAGTGACACATGCCCCCTCTAGACCCGGGCCACACAAACTCCCACATGACCCTCCACAGCCCCAGACCCTTTTCCCCTATCTGCTGGCTGAATGGAGAGGTCATCAAGGGCCCGGGGCGGGCAGAGCCACAATGTGGAAGGAACCTGGGCTTCTGAAGAATCATGAAAATTGATGCCCATTTTGGGTCTGACCTGATTGAAAGTTTGTTGTGTTAATCCCCCCAAATGTGGAGCTTACCTATTTTGGCACCTCGTATTATCTTAACTAATGTAAAATCTTAAGAGTTGCAAGGGACTTTAAAAGCTGATCCACTCCCGCCCCAGCCGATACAGGAGTGCCATCCGCAACACCTTGGACAAGAGGTGCTGTAATCTGCATTTAGAAAACCCTAGAACCTCGGAACTCACAAAACCCCTCCTAGCCAGCCTGTCCTGGTTAAATCATCTCTGACTTGTATGAGCAGAAACATAACTTCCTCTGCGATTTACTCTCTTTGGCCTCAGTTTTGCGTTCTGATACTAGAAACAAACCCAGACCTTCTCATTCTGTGAGACAGCTCTTCGAATGTTCGGGCAGTTCACCTAACACACTGTCAATGTCTCCTCGAGTTCCCCCTCTGGGTGAAGCATGCCGGCGGTGGGGGGGGGGGGCCCTCACTGCTTCCTTGTCCGACAGGCCCTGGAGCCCCTCCCCATTTTGGTCCCAATTCCCTTTTGTTTCCCTCCCTTTGACAATGTGGCACCTAGAACCAATGTTTCGTAGGGCAGCACAGTTCACGGGGGAGTAGAGGAGTCCAATTTTCTGGTGAATTCTGAACTTCGGATCAGTCCACCTTTGTCACCCCCACACCTCACTTTAAATGAGTGCAGACCTTCCACGGTGGCCTTGTCTTTTCAGGACGGGAGGTGGGATGGAAAACAGCCTGAAAGCGCACCATTTCTAGGCACCCGGGGCTTGGTGTGGGTCTGAGGCTGGATGGGAGGGAGAGGGCCTACCAGTGGCTCCCCTGGGACAGATTCCCAGCTGGAAGGCTGGAGAGAGGGCAGAGGGGTCTGACTACCGTCCTTCACTCAGAAATAAGGTTCCGGAAATTGGACTGCTTGCCAGAGGGGAGACCAGGTCAGGCCCGAGTGCCTAGACTTTGTATTTCTCTCTGGCTCTCTGGAACGTCAGTGAACCCTGCACAGAAAACTGCCGAGGTCCCATCCTGCTCTTTCTGTGCGCCCCCCCAAACCCCCAGCACTGGCTTCCTGACACTGGCCTGCAAGCCCCTCACTTCTCCACCTCAGAAGCAGGACTTCTAAGCTTTTCCTGGCTCTGGCTCCAGGCTGGCGTCTATGAGCTAAACTTTGCATCCCAAAACTCTCCTCCTCATTCGCATTCTTTGAGAGAGAGGGAGAGTCTGTCTGTGTGCTTGCGCGTGTGGGTCCGTTTCCGCCAAATTATACAAGTTCAACATTTGTCCTCGGAAATGAAGAACAAAGCAGAAATCAAATAAGAACTGTAATCCCAAGTTGGGGGTGGGGGAGAGACTCTAACCTGTTTTTTCCTCAAAAGAAAAATAGTTCTCTTTTGTGGGTTGCCTAGAAACGGAGAGGTTTCCAGCATCAGCAACAGCTCTCCCCCGGGCGGGCGGATTATCTTTCTGCTGAGCTGGCTGAACCATTATTTATCACCTGCCAAGACTGATTACTCACCCTGGGACAATGACAGCCCTTCCTTTCCCCTGTTAATTACTGTCATCATTAATATCCATGTCACTAATTAGTATTCATTCACAGTGAAACCCCTTCCTCGCTGTCATATCCGTTCCCCCCCACCCCCCAGCCTGCGGCACTATTGTCTGGATTTCTACCCGCTTTTGGCTTTCTGGGCTCAGTGTCTAGCCTAATTGTCTCCCCAGTCCACCAGGCCCCATTTGCATTCACAGAGCTGAAGGATCCTTTAAACACTTTTTTTTTTTTTTTGTAAAAATGGGAAAGTCACAAAGGCCCTTTTCCTTTTCTCCTAGTGCTGTGGTGACCACAGGCCTCGGTTTCTGGTCCCAAGTGCAGCCACCGTGACAGTCGGGGTCTCCATCTGAGGACTGGTATGACTGTCCCGCCTTGGTGGAGGGCTGCACTGCCACCCCGGCACTCCTGGCCCACTGCCCTCTGGCGGCAGCAGCACCCGCCTCCCCACCACCCCTCCGCCGCCAGTGGCACCCCGTGGTGGCATCAGCAAACACGACGGTGCCTAGGGCTGTGGACACGCTCCTCCTGCAGGCGTGGGGTGTTCCAGACTCCCGAGGACTGATCCAGAGGGGCTGGCCTCCAGCCTGGCGGCAAGAGTAAACCATTGCATGTTCAGCCCCAGGAAGAAGTCGGGAAGAAAAATCTGTCATAATGTTATTTCCATGAAAAGACCTGCGACTCTTACAACTGTAGGATCAGACCAGAAGAGTCCAAATGACCATCAGGAGAAACCATTCTCTTTTTCTCTTTCCTTTCGTCTTTCTTTCCATGCTTCCCCAATCATTCTTTCCATCTTATTATAAAATGAATTTCAAAATGATTATTTTTCCTTTCTGTCCTCAATTCATTGTTGAGCTCTGGAATCACTGGTGGTTTCTGGTTCTGGTTTTAGTCAAGGTGCCCTGCCAAGGGATGAAAATCAACATAAAAACTTTGGGACAGATGTGGGACAGTCGCCCTTTATTCCCAAAGGTCCTAAAACTCTTGGCTTAAAGATGAGGTGAACTTACCAGCACACATTGCAGGGGCATCAATGAAATACACCAGAAAGCACCTGAAACACTTCTTTACAATACAGTGGTTTGTTAGCATATTTATATACATATTTATTACATGCAGGCACGCTTTATGTTTCTATAAGTATTGTATGTATGCATTTCAATTATGCCATATATATATAATTATGTTTATTGGAAGGGTTTTTGGACACAATTCGAAAGTTCTGTAGTAGGAGATTGTATAAATAAATTATGGCTCATCATATAGTAAGTATTTATTGAATATCTATTATATTAAATGAAAAAGCCTACTGAAAACAGGGTACATCATACAGTGACATTTTTACAATAGAAAATATATACTTGTATTTATATTCTACTAGTCACACATGGATGGATATATACAGAGAGGGAGGATAGTTCTGCATTTAAACTGCTAACTTTTGGTTATCTTGGGGAGGGGGGAGGTCACATTATAGGAAATGTCTATTCTTTATATTTCCTTATCATTGGAGTTCATAGAAGGTAATGCATTATTTTGCACTGAGAAAACTACTTTTCGTTTTAAAGAGCAGGAGGCAAGACCTGGCCTCTGAGGCTAACGTGGAGAATCCCGGCTGCGGACTCGGAGAGGGGAGAGCGCCCGGCTGGAAGGACCCGCTGGGCCCCGCCCCAGCCCGGCCCAGCCGGCCGCTGCTCCCCAGGGAAAGCGCAGGGGGAACGGAGGCAGGGCTCGCACAGCGGCCTTTTTCCCGAGGAGTGAGGAGTGAGCGTGTGAGGCTCTCCCACGGGCCTCACACTGATCCCTCTCCCTGGCCATCTGACCGGCCCCAGAGCCTCAGAGTGGCATTTTGTAGATTCTCCCAGTCTGTTCGCCATAATCCTGGACGGGGGCGGGGGGAGACAACCTGCCCCACACCCTCATTGTCGACACCCCCTCTGTCTGTTGTTTCCTGTTTGCTTGTGTGGTGTGAGACTCCGCGATCTCTCCCCGGGGACTTCCCAAGTGGTAGTAACTCTAGATCAATGTAAACTGGATTTGAGTAAGCTGGTAAGATCTTCCAATATTTTAAGGAGTTCTCTTTCTGGTTTTGGGGAGACCCTTATTATAAAAGGGTTCTATTCTGGCCTTTGTCTTCAGGTGTTTTAAGTTGGCTTGAGGATTTAGAGATATTGATACATGGAACTTCTTGCCAAAGAAGTCAGATCACAAGCAGATCCTACAAGAAACACTCCCTCCATCCTTCCCAAAGGATTGTATCAATCTGAGCCCAGACTAAATTACGCAAACTTGATAAACAGACTGGTTCCTTCACCTGCAAATTCCAGTTTGCCTAAAACTTGGTAGCTCATGTATCATAGTATTGATAACTGAAGCAATTGATAACTTACTTATCAATCCTCACCATTAGGGAAAGATACTTCCGTTTGAGTAAACGGTTCCTAGAGCCCAGCAAAGGATAAGATGGCTCCTGCTCCTCAGTCAAGGTTATGACTCAGTCAGACGCCGGATTCTCACAGACCTCCCAAAGTCTCAGCTGCACCTGTGCGTGAAGAAGGCGGCTTTATGCCGCCTCCTCAAGCATGTAGGTGCCACTCCAGGCCAATGCTCCTGCAGGGGGAGCGACATTCCTGAGTGCCCGCCGTGTACCAGGCCAGAGTGTGCACTTGACCCTGTTAGCACATACCATCCTGGCAGTCAGTGTGTGAGATGTAGTAACTATTATACCCATTTAACAA